AAAGGCTGTTATCGCGGTTGAAATGAACATGAAATAAGCGAATCCAATCAATGTGATAACAATAAACTATGTATATCGTCATTTCTACGTTTTACCATTGAATAGCTAGATTCTAGAAATTGTATGCCACTCATTTTTATTGTAGCAGCAAACAAATTTGCCATGAAAATAAATGCGTAAAATAGCCGTGTTTATTGAATATTGTAAAGCTTTTTTGGTGGCAAAATGTGAAACACATTTACTGAAAAATGTGCGCTGAGTAATAATATCATCATTAAAATTCTACCTAATAGCCTAATTTGAATAAGCACTTTACATGTGAATTAACTGTCACTGACTAATATCGGTCACTCTTTAATTCGCACACGGCATTTACTTACGTGTAATTATGAATTAAAAGTAAAACTCATCTCAAAAGACACACCTCAGTTGATTTATAGACACATTTTATATGTTATTGAACGCACCATATGTATTAGTTGAGCTCATTCTAACTCGCACACGCTTTCGTACTTTAATGTTGGATATTTAATTTGTCAATCATCCATTTAATTGGCACTGTCTGTTCTCAATATACTCCGTGACCCATTTCGACCTTCTACGTCACTAAAATAAGTACTCAAGCTCTTCCCGATGCTATAGCGATCACACGATATGAACGAGTAAATTGAAGATCCCAGACAGATTGACGTGCTTTGTTTTACGTTGATTTAAAACCTTTTTTTTTCACATAATTGTCTACTCTAGTTAATGGTGTTTGATATTCAATGTGACCCAATTTTCTGCATCGAAAAATGATAACGATTTCGCAAACCATAAAGAAAAACTTTATTATTGGGAAATTACTTGTGCAATATCAATTTCCGTTGTCGATTTTCCTTTGGCCATTATGTGATTTGCGTCGTCATCAAATATGATTAAAAATCAATTCCTCGTCAAGTGAGAGAAACAAACAATGTATACGCTTTATGAGCGTAATTTGCTAAAAATCGATTCATCGTTCACTATAGTAATATATAACTCTTTTTATGTTTTGCTTTATTTTATTTACAGGTGTATTGGTGCGGCCAGTAGCATTATCAATACCATATCTCATACTTTTATTTTATATACCATTTGTACCTGTTGCAACGACGAAAACAATTCGCGGTCACACGGGATACTTTTTTAAGGTTGCCATCGCTCTTAGTACGATTACGGTTTTATTACAAATAGCATTTCAAATTGTTTTGGTAACAAAAGGCGGTGATTTTCTGCAAGCATGTGAATTTCTCGAAAAATTATTCCGTCACATTGGCATGATCAGCTTGCATGATCTAACGTGAGTGTTTATTTTTGTCGTTTTTTCCATTCTCGTTCTGTCTTATTCTTTGTTTTCACTTTTTTTTCCATAGTAATTTTAACATATGTTGAATTTGGTTTTTTAAATTCTCTTTTGAACGGCATTTTTGAGATTACATTATTAAATCATCTTTTGATTTTTTTTAGATTGGTATCGATTCTATTATGGTTGTTGCCAGATATTTTGATGCTTGTTTCGAGCATCATATTTTTCATTGTGTTGAAAAAACTGACCGCACCTGTTGTCAATGAAGATGTTGGAGAGAGCGGAACAAGCAGCGCAAATACATCGCCCGAACCGGTGACAGAAGAAGAAGGCAGCTACTCCCCAGAACAATATGTTCTCTTGAAACGAACAGGTACATATATAGTTGCTCCTACCTTTTTTTCCCCAAAATCTGCTCCGAAATTAACCGTATCCAATTTGATCATTTATTTCTTTTCCACAGCAATTTTTTGTGCAATGGCAATGCTTCTGTTTGCCGCAACCTTACAGCCATCTGTACCAAGTGCGGTGTACTTCCTTGTTTTCTTATCGGCAGTAACTATTTGGGCTTATTACGGTGAAATTGGTCGGGGATTTGCAATAATTTGTCGAATACTTGGTGCACTTTTGATTGTACATGTATGCGCTCTGTTGGTGTATCAAACGCCCTGGCCACAACAGTATCTCGATGTTAACAATACGGTGATACGGTGAGTGAATAATTTTGACTAGACTTGATCTGCGGTCAAGTCATAAAAAATCGAATATAACCAACGAGAATGCCACTAATGATCAATTTACCGTTTACAGTCTCCTTGGCTTTAGTCCACTGATAGTGTCGTCATGTAATTCAACAACTGGTGACATTCGGGTGATTTACTTAAACCAAATGCTCGATTTGGATGCGTTTTTGAATCCAGTTGCATTACTGCTGTGTTACTATGCGCTCATCATATCGTCTGGATTCATTTTGGACGCTAAGGTAAAACAATCACCACCATTTTACGGTGAACCATAATAATTTCCAATTAATCCATTCACACGCAAGTGAAACATCTATGAAATGGTCAAAATACAATTCATGCATATCAGTCGTTGTTTGCTCAACGTTCTAAATAATAATAAGGTTGCCGATTTTTTCGACATATTTCTTTCCCTCTTTTTAACAATTATCATTCTTCCTTTCGTGCTCTCATGCTTTTCACGGATCAATAAACTCTATAACGAAATATAACGTTCGGTCATGCTTATGTCCAATGATACCGCGCGTATTTTTTGGCTTAATGGTTTGGAATGCCACAATGATAATACAATTTACGCTCATTTTCGCAATTCGTTAACCTAATGACAAAAAAATAAAAATAAAAATAAACCGAATAATAACGAATTCAGCAACGATTCAATGAAAAACGTAGCGGTGCATTTGGACAGTATGAAAATGGTGCACAGCAGATAACACGTCAGGTATCAAGTAGAATCCAAAAGGGCCCATTAGTTGGTAAACGATTAGCAAAGGAATCATGGCACGGTGCTGCTGATAAAGTTCGAGTAATTTTGTCTCGTTTATTTGTTTCGGTTTTTCATTTGATTTTTAATTCTCTTTTACCTTCTCTCGCTCTCTCTCTGGATGTTTTTTCAATTCGATTTTACTTTTTTGTTCTTTTAATTGTTGCACCTCAATGTTACATACACCATTTCAATTTTATGTTTTTAGCGAAATGACTTGTCAGGGTTAGGCTCATAAAAAAACCGACTCTAGTGAGCGACTTTCTTTTTGGCAAAAACTGAAAAAAAAAAAAATTAATTTACATTCATTTAAAAATGAACTTTGATTTTCCGACAGTCTCTTTTGATATCTCTTATGCCTATTTTTATTTTGCTTCGCATCTTTAAATATAGATAATCAATGTCATTTACACAAAACATATAAATATATTCAACGACTTCAAACTAACCATGAAAAAAAAATGTCCATTCATCGACCGTTCCTCTAACACATCCTTTTCACTAATCATTTTGCTTACTTTTTTCAATTTATCTGAACATTTAAAAAAGAATGTGCTCAAATTAATAATAATATTTTCTTTTGATTTCTTTTGGCGAATGTGTTTTTTATATGTTGCATTTCTTTGGCTTGCACACAATTTTATTTAAAAAACCAAAATGTAAAACTAAACAAAAACAAACAAAAACCATGCACAGGATTTATTCGATAGCAGCGATGAGCCAAATGAACGAACGCCTGTACGTATTATTTGCGAATAAGTATTGCTTTGAAATTCCATTTTTTTTTATACAAAATTTAATTTCATTTGGGGCATTTAGCGACATTTAACATTTGTTGTGTGGAGGATACGGCTAAAAAAAATTCTCATAAAAATATGGAATTGGATATAGCACTTTGTACATGTTTTGTGTGCTTACACGTTTGCATGAATGTATTGCTAGTAATAAAAATGCACCAAAAATTCACGCAAAAATTGACCTTTTTCACAAGCACTAATCTACATTCATTACCAATTAAAAGTGTGTTCGTTTCCTTTAAACATTCGTTAACCATATTCGTCGATTGCGTTCTGCACGTTGAAGCTTTTATATCTAGTTATCAGATAATCCATATTATTATTATTTTTCTTATTCTCAGTGGCTACCTATATTTTAGTTCTAATCAACTAATCCGTTAGAAAGTCATCAAATAAAATCGATGCAATTGTTAATATGAATTTTCTTTTGAATTTTGCGCACAATATAGTTGATGCGTCGCAGTATGAAGCGATTGAAAACATTTAAGCAAATTCGACCGACTGAAGGACCATCCTTAAGTGATCCGAACGCAATTCCACTTGAATCTATTGGCGGTAAGACACATTTTTCCTTGACATTTTCATTTGCAATTTTTTTTTTTTCGTTTCGTATTTGGTATGTTTTGATCATGTTTTTTTTCCCTTTCCCCGATTTGCATGAAATATGTTTTTGTATTCATTTTACGGTGTGTCGTTTTGGGTTTTGTACATATTTTGTGTTATTTCGTTTTGTTTTGTTACATTCGAAAAAAAAACACATCATATATCATTCATTTAAACCAATATAAAAGAAACGAACAATAAAGACGATGGTATTGTATCCGCAGAAGAAGAAACACAGGCCACGATTGGTGAACACATCACGTTCGCAATCGGACACTTGTCAACGGTGATTTGTAAGCATAGCTATGTCATCTCGAATATTATGATGATGGTGAGTTTTAATTTTGTTGAATGTTTTTTTTTTTGTTTCGTTTCGGTAACAACGTTCTCTTTTTTTCATTCTCAGGTATGGAGTATCGTTTACCACAGTTGGTTAACATTTGTTTTCCTCTTGGTTGCGAATTTGTTGTGGATCATACCAAATCAACGTAAAAATATGCATCGAATTAGTAAATTTGTGGTGGGCTATGCAATATTCTTGCTGATTTCGCAGTATTTGTATTGCATGAATCTGACCGATGACGAGCTACCAACAAAAGTCGATATAAAAGGCATTAATTTGGAGCAAATCGGTTTCATTCGATACAGAACATATCCGTGTGTACCGCTCCTGCTGAAAACATTATTTACAATAACATTTTGGCTAACATACCGTCAAATGAAGTACGAAGACACATTACAACGTCGATCATCGACATTGGCCCATTTGGCGGCACCATTCCAGGTCACAGTATCCGCAGCTACCACCGATCTTGGGCCAAAACCAGAATCGAAAAAATCCAAAATCATGATGAAAGCGGGCAACATTTTCAAAACGGTTTTGATGCAAGTTTGGATTTGGATCGTCGTATTTGCACTATTCTTTTTCGCCATTTATGGCAAAGATATGACCGTATTTCGCATTGTCTATATGGCACTGTTTTTGATTTTCATGGTGACATTCCAGGTAACTGATTTGAGATTAATTTTAGTTCAGTACAGTCAATCCTCCGAATTACGAACACGTTCACCATAAATGGGCGCCCAAAAATCGTCACGAATATTCAATTTGACCCTTTGGCCTTAATATATTGTAATTTCAGTTATCATGGCGAATTTGGAAGAAAATGATGTACGTATTTTGGATATTCGTCATCGGTTTCTCAATGCTGTCCCTGACCATGATTTATACATATCAATTCGATCGATTTGATGAATTCTGGGAGAAATATATAGGCATTGATAAAGATTTGTGAGTATTCTTCAATTTAGTTGCTTGGCGATCATGCTTATTCTAATCAATATTTGCGTCCATTTCTAGGCAAAGAGACATCGGTTTGGTAAAATACGAAACGAAAATTCTTTTCTTACGTTTATTTTATCCGACACTGTTGGTTGTCATCACAGTCGTGCAATTGCAAATGTTCCACAAAAAATACTTGGCGCAATTAGATTTGCCGTCATTAACAACTCGTAGAGAGAGTAGTGTTTCAGGTATTCAACCGTCGTCAAGTGTAAACTATGGCAGTTTGGAGGCAGAATCACCTTCGGAGGAGCATCAAAAGACAAAGAGTCACTACGCTCGAATTAATGTATCTGATTTGAAGAATCTCAACACAAAACAGGTGAAAATTAGCAATTACGATTCGCAACATTTGAGAAGATTTTTAATTTTGTTTGTTTGTTTTTTCGGTTTTAAATGCAGGCAATCAAAAAAGCTGTATTGTTTTACAACCGAACAAAGTGGTTCTTTGACATATTTTGGCTGTTTATGGAATTACATTTCATCAAAGTTATTCTTCTCTTGGCATTTTATCTTGGCATCAATGAGGTCTCAACGGTGCATATCGCCATAATTGTACTAACAGTTATTGCCGTCACATCGCGAACGAATACACAAACCATTTACAGTGGATTCATCTCCTTAACCGTTGCGATATTATTCATTTTGAAAATGATTTATCAAATCGAATACATTCCTCAAAGTTTCTACGATGTCAATTGCCCGGTATGTACACAATTAATCACAAAACAATGAAACAAATAAATTCATTGCTCGTATTTTCTTTCAGGATGACCAAAACTTAACCGACAGCAATATGTATACAAACGACTCAACAACCACAACAGCATTTGCAACAGCAACATCAGAAACATCAACACCAATAATGGCACCAACTACTACGGCTACTACAGCTGCAGGCAATACCACTTTTGTCGTCAACAATCCAAATAATAATACCGCAAATTGGGTTGGGTTTAATAAGTTGGTGCATGGACAAACCTTAATGCAACTTCTAAGCGGTTATATTGTTTACATTGTTGCATTGACCATTTACAATTTGATTTTACTCCACCAACAACGAAAACGGTGAGTTATGCGAACGAACATGACACTGTGAACACAAAAGTGTTTCTGTAAAATCGAGTCAATCTCAAAAGAGAGTAATCTTTAAGAACACACAGCTAGCTGTGATAGAGATTAATTTTTGAACATTTTTTGTATCTTGAAACATATTGCAAATAAATTGATTAACAATTTCGTTGCAGATTCTTGAGCGGAAAATCAATTGCCAGACCAAAGGTGCTATTTCCACGAATTACACGCAATGATGCCGACAAAGATATTTCACATTTGATTAAATATCTTTTCAACTTTGCCTTCTACAAATTTGGTGTGGAAGTAACACTTTTGATGTTAGCAATTTTGATTGGTGCTCGAATGGATATCGTTGCTGTTTTATATGCCGTTTGGCTATGCATTCTATTCGGCGTATCAAGAGAAACAAAACATCGCATTTGGCCAATATTCCAATCGTTTATTGTCATTCTGATCGTGGTTCAATACATAACAGCCGTGAATTTGCCGCCGTTCATTTGTTTCAGTATGTTACATTCTCTCAGCACATCAAAATGGTTTCCAAATTTTAAAAATCAACCATTTTTATTTGTAGATTACCCATGGAAAACGAATACATTGAAACGTTTGCAAGAAATAATGTGGCTACCAGATCCTGCACTTCGTACCGATGCCCATAGGCTTGTACTCGATTTCTTACTGCTCATATGCACTTGTCGTCAAATGCTTGTGTTCCGCATTGAAAAACAGTATGAAAATAGTGAATTTCCAGGTGGAAGCAATAAATCAGTGGTTGAAAAAATCAATAAATTGGGCTCTGGTGAGGTTCCAATCGAAATGGATGATTTCGTATCAATTCAAAAGAATTGGTTGGACATTCTGAAATGCATCGTATTTTTGGGATGGTTCTGGATTACATTGGCCATTGTATTTTTGGCTGGTTCAAGTCATCCAAATATTTACTCAATTGGCTATTTGATTGGATCGTTCATTTTCTTGTGGCAAGGCGGAGAATTTTATCTTCGTCCCATTCACACGATTCTACGTTGGTGGAAATTTTTAGTTGCATACAATGTCCTAGTAATAATCGTGAAAGCTATGTTGCATCTGCCAGTCTGCATTTTTATCGATGAGTTGGAGTTATGGAGCAAAAACACATGCCTTTTCGAGAAAGCATTTGGAATTAATTGTCCGCAAGGACTGCCCAGAGATAAACTACCACCGGTAATTTACATTATACATTTATGGAAATTCATACGTAATTTCTTCATCTTACTTTTTTTATTTAAACAGACACAAATATGTGATAATCCAGACGATTCCAGTTTAGCATGGGACATTGTCTGCTTTTTGTTCTTGATTTTCCAACTGAGAATTTTCCAAAGCTATTATTTCTGCCACATTATCAACGAAAGCAAAGCCAGCACCATTTTGGCATCCAGGTACCGAGCGTTTGTACATTTTTAAGTTAAAAAGAAATGAAAAGAATGTCATTTAAAAAATTTCAGAGGTGCTGAATTGATCGAAAGTCTACGGAAGAAGCAAGTCAAGATCCAAGCGCAACGTGAAGAGGAGATTTTACAGAAGATCAAAGTGAAGATGGATCGTATCAAGGCAAATCAACAGAAAATGCAACCGGCTCTAACGTCTCCAAAAACGCACTATCAAGGTAAGTTAATTAAACAATTAGTGAAAGTCGAAATTACGGAAACGAAAAACAAAAAAAAAATTCCATTACGATAAATGTGAGTATGTGCGTTAGTAATAACAAAGGTCGAACTATTATTCAAAATGAGCACAACGAAAACAAAATGTATTCAAATGGTACATTTAAAAGTTGAAGACATTTTATTTTAATGTTAATATTGTTCGTGAAGAGGGCGCTTTAGCGCCTTTAGCTCGTACGATAAGTATGTCGTCATGTGCTGGATATCATACCCCGATTGAAGATGAAGTAGCTGCAGACGGTATATGTGATTTGCCATCGGACCTGATGCCGACATCACGTGGTGGTTCGATGCTAAACACACAAGTAGATGAAACAATCACGCCAAACAAAAAGTCGCCACCACCATTCATACCCTTCAATGATTTTAGGTACCATCACCAAGTTCTGCTATCATGACCGTATCTCATTCACTAGACGCGTACTTAGAACCTACACGTTTATCATTTAGCTCTCCTCCCGTCTCTGAATTGATGCAACAAAATTCCGACGATTCATATCCCGTATTCTCACCATTGCATCAATCCCGCAAACAAAGCCTACAATCGAATATATTGCCAGTTGGTGTGCCGATGAACGTTCCCACCACAACATCAAGTACACAAAATACATTACAACCGGGCACATTTGTCCGGCAACATCGAAGACAATCTAGTGTTAATACAGTTTCATGGACAGATCAGGGTGATGCAACGATTGGAAAATTGCGTCGCCTCTCCACCACATTAAATCCATCCAATGTTAGTTGCATTTCTGTCTTTAATTTAATGTCCTGCATTTTATTTGGATAATATTTATAATACACATTTTAAAAATGCTGACACATACAAAAATGGAAATAAAAAGGAAACTGACGAGGAAGAAGTTATGCTAAGACGAAAACATCGCAGACAATCATCGGTGGGTCTATCGATTCGAAGCGAAGGACGAGAACGTCGTCGATCCAGCTATACATCCACATCATGGATTCGAGATGCTGACGATGAGGCAGATGAATCAACACGAACTGGCCGAAGTCGGCCATGTAGCTGGGGACCAATCGGTGAAATTTTCTATCGAGATTCATTGTCATTCTGTGATTCGGAACGTTCGAAGTGTTCGCCTTTGTCGCATCACGAATGTAATTTCAAAAAGAAATGCACACAATGTCTGTGCGCCAAAAAAAATTCGCTTCTGTGCAACTGTATAAATTATCACACGCAACAATCGACAACGACAATTCTAGTAAAACAAATTAGAGAATTTTTCCATTTCGCTTTATCTGCTTTTTGATCTGAATTTTGATGATATGCCAATGTAAATAGGCTACAGAAATATCGCCGAACATCTGGACCGGTGCGGCGACAGTGTAACACTTTTATTTTTTCGCATAATGTTTAATACTGTGAATATTTTTTAGAATTTGAAGGTTTCATTCAATTTTGTGATATGAACTATTTTCTGTTGAATCGAATTTGATTATTGTTATGAACAAATTTTCATTTTTTTTTTCTTCATTTCATACAGGAATGTAAATATTTTAACCTTTTTCGCTTAACACCACAGCTCACCAATCTCATGTAAAATGGGAACAACATTTATCGCACATTACTCAATCTAAGCACATTTTCAGCATTTTTTTTTTCTCTAATCATAATTTTTCATTTTAAATCTAATATCGGAAATGTTGTTACTTTTTTAGATGACACAGATGGAAGAAGAAAAAATCGATCTTTCATAAGTCATGCGCGGGGTAATTTTTGTTTTGTTTTTTGTTATATTTTTAGCAGTTTGAGATTGAATTTGAAGAGTGAACATTTTGAAGAATTTTTTTTTTTTGAAAATTGCACTTCAATATTTAAATGTTTGAAAATTATACAAAATTGATTGCGCAACCAAACCTAATATTTAAAAAAAAAACGTTCTGATTTTTCGGCAATAATTTTTGATGATCACGCGTGGTATTTTTGCTACATTTCTCCTACTGCTTTTTTAAGAGAAAAAAACATTAGTCATCGTAATGAAATTTTTTTAGATGAAGACGCTTTTTACGAAGCAAATAAGGTTAATGAGGCGACTCAAGAATCACCTCAAGAAATTCCAAATGATATGGTAGATGAAACCGCTAAAGACCTCACAAAAATTGTGTCTCATGAAGTGGCTTTTCAAACAACAAAGCCAAGAATTATTACTCGTAGACATTCATATGGTAAATAAAAACAAACGATGAATGATTATAGCGATTTTGAATCAATCCAAAATATTAACATATCATCATCTCTTTTGACCAATGCCAAAATTGAAAATGATAACATCAAAAAAAGATTAGGCCATTCAAAAATCATCTTCATCACATAGTCATTGTTATGCTCATACAGAATTGAGTTTTTTCTTAATTTTGTTCTTTTATTTATATTTTGGGTTTTTTTTATTTTATTTTATTCTTAATCCCCCCCTCCATACACAAATCCCAAATATTCCCTGAACGGATTGCATCACTCGATGGTAGAACCAAAGTGTATGTATCCCGAAAAGTGTTTAATTTGTTCAGAAAAGAAAATTATTGTGAACAATATTCGATTCAAAAGATGAACACATCACAATAGATTGTCTAACATTTCATTTTAGATAGACTACAACAAATTTTATAAATGTATTTTGGAGTGATGGTATAAATTCCTAGTTTTCGTGACTAAAGAACATGTGATGGCGTTATAACTAGTCGAATTTTGACAAAAGTTTATGGTGATCAATCTTAACATTTTAACTCTTTCACAAATACTTAAAATAGCATTTACATGCTTCAAATATCAAATGACAACTTTATGAACAACAACAAAATATTGAAAAATTTACTATTTATTTTAAGTTCAATTAAATTAAATGTAAAATACACACGTGATTTAATATTCTCTTTTCGATGTACTCACAGCGTTGATTGATGCACAATTTGTTTAATATTGCCAAAGAAAATCGTGAAAACACGTATCAATTATTAAATGCACCTATATGTAACACAAACACAAACCAATTAAATTGTGTGAAACTAATTGAATTGAATTTTAATGTGTAGTTTGCACAATGCAAATCAAATACACTAAATGATACAATTGTAGCTTCTCTTTTTTTGTAGTGAATTTGTTCGTTTGTTTTTTTGCATTAAATAAAGCAAAAATTGCCCATTTCTATTGGTTACAATTCCATTCGCAATAAATAGTGAAATGATTGAATTGACAAAAATTAAATTAAAAACAAATTGCATCAAGTTCAAAACATGCAACCAAAAACATGGGCAGTTCTTGTACAAAATATCCACCGTGTAAAATAGAAACTAATCAATAATTGTATCTTTTTTCAAATACAAAAACATAGCTGTACGCAGTGGTGACTATTACTTGTTCGAGGATTTGGATGAAAAAGTTGAATTGGATTTGTTGCACGAGCGTCCATCGGCTGGCATCGATGATGCAATTACTGATCGAAAGTTGAGTGATAAATTGACCATTGAGCAGGTAAATTTCAAAACTGATTTCAATTGAGGCTCTCAGAATATTACATGTGTCCCATAAAAGTACAATCATCATCAAAAATAACGATTCCTTCCTTGTTGTAAATAAACGCTCAACCGATGTCAGAAGAAGCAGTACATAAAACAATACATGAATTTGTCTTGCTTTAGCATCGTTTTTGTATTTTGTCCACAGATTAGAATTCAATCAAGTTTCGATGTGGTGGGGGCACTGTTTATTTAATATTCGAGTTTTAATAGCGTGCTTTTTTGTTTTTCGGTTAAATAAAAATTGTCAATGTTTTTCTAGCTGTTTCGTGAGAAACTCGGTTTATCAAGTCCAAAAAGGGGTGCTCGAAAGAAGGTTTGTCTAGCGTGCTTTTCCAAATTTCGTTTACGTTTTATTTTGTGTATTAAATCTTAGTTCGTGTGTGCTTTTTTTGCTTTTTCACCACGTTATTTTGACACATTAATCAATTTGTGGACGATTTTTTTAAAAATTGACAAGAACTTAATAATTAGGATTAAGATTTGTTTTTTGTTGATAAAATGAATAGAGTTTTATTAAATCATTTGTTTTGTATTCGCGATGGTTTTTGTTTTTGAGTTCGTCGTACAGCCGATAGAATAATAAAGTTGAGAAAAAAGATGCTAAAGATTGACAGAAATTGGTTTGCTCGGAAATGTACAAACTATATCGCATGAAATGATATTTAACATGAATAAATAACAAGTGGAATTGTTCTTTCTGGAGACTGATTCATGATTTAACCAAATTTTAAATATCTTCAAATTTACGATATTTTGTGTGTGTTTTTTTCTCTTCATTTCTTTTTCGAATCAACTCTGTCCATTCGAATAAATCATCAAAATTGAATACAAATAAACTATATAAAACTAACCAAACAAAAAAACTATCGAAGGTTATAACAAAATCCTTCCAAACACCACCAAATCGCCACAAACGACAATCAGACACATCTGGTGATGAAGAAACGGATCATCATGCGACATCATTACCAACGCAACCATCGGAAAAAGTAGTCGCCGAAGTGAAATCGACGATTTCCGAACCGATTAAACTGGCTGACACAAAATCCGCTGGTTCTGTGAGTTATCATTCCGTATACAAATAAATGGCATTTTTCTTATACTAAATCCATTGCATTTTTGAACAAAACAAAACTTACTACATAATTGTTGAAATTTAATCATTTGTATGTTTGTTTGTTAGCTAAGTAGTGTTTTTACCGTTTGCTCATTCATCATAAATTCTAATTTCGCTAACCATTCAAAATTTATCTTATCTTTTTTTTTCAAATCGACCGGAACATTTAAAATTTCACTTTGCTATTCAAATTTTTGTAGGAATTTGCCAGTGCTACTGTTAAAGATGGTAAGAAATGTTTAAATCATTTTGATAATGTGATTTAAATAAATGACCTTAATTTTAGAATTTACTCAACCGGATGGCGAACAACCAAGTACCAGTCGAAGTTTGGACGACGAACCTGATGATTTATCGGAGCCATTATCGTCAACCGGATCTGAAAGACCAGCAGTTTCATCGGCATTCACTTTTATTAAGGCATTCATATCGGGCATTTTGGTATCAATGACATTACGTTTGTACAAATTATCGAGAAATTATCGATATGTAACACGTGTACTGTCAAAGGAGAAGAAGGCATTGAAACTGGAGAAGGATTTCGGTCAAGGTCATCGAATTGGAGCCGGTCGTGTTTGGGCGCCACTGCCATCCGTTCTTCGTACACAGGGGTAAATTATTTTTACTGCACTTTTTGTACATATGATTGCAGCCAAATTCTTAGAAGAAAGAACACAAAAAATGTCGACTAAATTAGCAGCACTTTTATTGATGTCTTACAAATTAATTTTCTTGTTTAATTTGCTAAGTTTGATTTTTTGGTTTTGTTTATTTATTGAGAATGATTGGAATTGGATGCATTCTAAGTTCTTATTTACGAATTTGTTGATCTAAAATTTTAACACTCACTGTAAATTCTGTATATACAAAAATTAATGTTAAATATACGTTTAGTCAATCAACGCCAAGCAAGACAAACCTGCAATCGAGCCAAAGTACGCTCTCTTATCACTCTACACAACAAAGTGGAAACGATAGTGAAGAATACCTGAGCGATAATGGTAACGAAGAGCAAACACCACAGAAAGGGTAAAAAAAATATCATATATTTTGTATAACAATATGTACATAACAATCGGATAAGATTTTTGAGTAAAAACAAAATGTGTGTTTGTCATTAAATCGGCATTGAAAACCCAAAAAAATGTACAAAGTATTTTTTTGACTTTGTAAATAACACTGATATCTAAATGAGTGTCCATTTTCCAACAAAACAAAAGCTCAAAGTCTTTAATTTGAATTGAAATTGTTTCTTTTACAGAACAACTATTGCACACTTGCTGAAGCCACAGCTATTCCCAACCAAAGAACAATTACAGCCAGCCGACGATGTAATGTAAGTTAATTTGCAAAAAAAATGCGTTTGTTATAATAATCCATTGATTTAATTCGTAGTTTAGTTAAATTTTTCTTAGCGTTTGCATTTGTATTAACTGGAATAGTGCTTTCATTGTCCTTTTGAAAGTTCCCCCTTTTTAGTATAAAATAACCCGGTGCACTGACACAAATTTGACTTTGAAAATTTCGAACAGAAATTGAAAGGTCTTAAAATTTAAACCAAATTTGAACAATTTATTTCTTATTTTACAAAGTTCAACTCAAACATTTTCAAACAAAAAACATGTGTTGTCAGAATTTGGTTTATCAACTTTCAAGTTCCTTTGAAATTGTTTTAAAGCCGATAGTTTTGTGTCGAAAATTCAAAAAATATATAGTTAATTGACGTTTTCTTACTAAACTTTTCATATATAAATTAACCGCATTAGACATTTGGGAGAAGCTCATTTTAAACTTGTAGTCATACGCTCATTAAAATATTCGACAGTATTTAAAAAAAATATATACAGAAAAATGACAATAAGAAAGATGTAATTTGATGAATAACGCGCAATATTTTAATGAGCGTCAAATTTTGAGTAATAAAAAAAATGCTCCGTAATTAATTGCACGTGTGTACAGGCGACGAACAAGCATAATACCCGAAATAAGAGTCCTAGCACCTAGCTTGGAGCGAGGACTAGACGATTCATGGCCAGAAAGTTCACAATCAATTCCAAATTTACCATCAATGGCAATTTCCAATTCGCCACAAATTTATCAAAGCCATTCCGATATCAGTGGTAGCGATATCAGCAGGTACATTTTCGATGTTGGCACCAAAATCAACTCAAATGTGGAATACAAAAGAAAATAAATCACAATTGCACGTCTATCTGTATTTCATCGAGCACAAATCCTACCTTTTTCATTCTGGTGACTGTGTGTACATTTTAATACTTTTCTACTGAACTCTATATGGCTTTTGCACGTTTTATGGTATTCAAAAAATAAATATATTTCTATTCTACATATCTTACTGTTCTCTCTCTTACTAAACACATGCTAAACATATGTTCAATTGTCATCTGAAATGATTTTGCTTCTAATATCAATGTTTCGTTCAATTTGCGCAGTCTTAAAGATTTCTCGGAGGGAGATGATGATTTCTACTCGCAACGACACTCAATTCTGACCGAATTCTTCCAATCGCTATGGTTTGCGCTCATTTCAAATACCGATTTAGTTTGTTATCTGCTCGTATTCATCAACATGGTGCATTCACAAAGTATTTTGGCATTGCCCATGCCATTGATGGTATTCTTGTGGGGCACATTGACCGTGCCACGACCATCAAAAACATTTTGGATTTCCTTGATTGCGTATACACAAGTAAGTACAGTTCCTTTTTTCGAATCGTTTAGTCCACGGCTAGTCCAGAACTTGTTGTAAATTTCTAATCATGGTCTATTTACAGGTGGTCGTTTTGATAAAATGCATCGCGCCGTTGTTCTTATGGTTCGATAAGTTATCAATTGCAATTCCAGAAAACAATCCAATGGCACCACCGAGAATCATTGGCGTGGAAGTTAAACCAAATTATGCGACATATGATTTGATTCTACTGCTTGTTGTATTTTTCCATCGATTCGTTCAAAAGCAAATGGGTATTTGGAAGAGCGGCTTTTCAGACGAAGATTATGCTGTTCAACCAATCGATCCAAGTACCATGTGAGAACATATCCAAATTTTCAGAATTTATAGAAAACAAAGATTCGATTCTAATCAATACTTTCTTTGGTAGACAAGCAACCGTAGTTGATGAACGAGTTGATGCTTCTAATCAAAATGTTGCTGTTGTGCCAAAACCAGAAGTCGACGAAAATGGAGAACGTGACAAATTGGTTCAGTTTGAGAAAACACCGGAAGAATCAAGTTATGGACAGAATTACTTTTCAAATGTATCGGCCATCTCGTAAGTGCAACTAGTTAAATCTAGAATTTTTTTTTGACAATTATGAACTGTTATTGTCGGAATCGGAATAATTCAATCAATTTTCTGATCAATTTATGTCGATTTATGTAGTTCCACATCTAAATGCATTCATTCTTTTCCTAGCAAAACAAAATACTGTTCACCATTCACAAACTTCTTCCGCCGACTTTTGAAAATGACGAATCGAGTCTCGGCAGATGTCTACACGTACATTTTCCTCTGTGACTTCATCAATTTCTTTGTGTTACTGTTTGGTTTCACAGCGTTCGGTTCAAGTCAAGGAGACGGTGGTGTTACATCATACTTGCAAGAGAATAAAATACCAATTGCATTCTTAATCATGTTATTGCTACAATTTGTATTCATAATCGTCGATCGAGCTTTGTACTTGCGTAAAAATCTACTCGGAAAGATAATTTTCCAATACATATCCGTCATTTTAATGCACATTTGGCTATTCTTCCTCGTGCCAATATTGAGCGAAAGAAGTTTTAATACGAAACTTCCGCCAATCATGTACTATGGATTCAAATATATGTACTTCTTGTTGTCAGCATATCAAATTCGATGCGGCTATCCACGTCGTATTCTGGGAAACTGCCTAACCAAAGGATTTACAATGTTCAATTTGTTTGCGTTCAAAATGTAAGTAAATTTCCGAAATTGTGAGTTGTATCAAAGCACAAAACTATCAATTCAATAAAATTTCATTTCAGATACATGATGACACCGTTCTTATTCGAATTGCGTACGCTTATGGATTGGATATGGACCGAATCAACGATGCCATTATTCGAATGGCTAAAAATGGAAGATATCTTTGCCAATATATTTGAGTTGAAATGTTCTCGACAAATGGAAAAAGATTTTCCAGCGCCACGAGGACAATCAAAAGGATCGTTTGTAAAGTATCTTATGGGTGGTGGATTTTTGATTGCAATAATCGGTCTAGTATGGGGCCCATTGGCATTGTTTGCATTAGGTAATACGGTGGGTGAAGCAAATAGTCCAACTGAGGTGCGAGTTGAACTTCGTATCGGACCGTACGAACCAGTTTACAGTATGAGTGCACAATCCAGTCAAATTCATCCGTAAGTTGGATTTCATTTTAAATCAAGCGTCTGTAAACTTGTTTGCGACCAATTATTCTTAATTCACTTTATATTTCTATTTTCTATACAGATTCGACGAACAAAGTTACGAGGCATTTAAGAACGTGTATTACGAACAAAAAGATCGTTCAGCATTAACATTTCTTTCAAATTACGATGCAAACGATCTATCCGCCATTGTTCTTGGTCCAAACTCAACGAGCCTTTGGATCATTTCACCGCCGGATTTGCAACGGCTTAAAGATGACCTAATGAACAATGTTACATTAAAAGTTCAGTATAAATATTTTGTGTCGAGAAAGACAAACAACGATAAACTTGCGGATACGATATCACGTGAACGATCATTTGATTTGAAGTCGGATACACCAGCTCGAAAAGATCTACTGAACATGCTTAACAAAATTTCAAATCAAAAACGAACACAGTTACCATTTTTGTTCCCAAAATTTTTAAAGGTAAAATAGATAACAGGTGTATCGAATATACACGACCATTAATAAAAAAAATATTTGCACATTTTAATTATAGGTAAAGAATCCAGATGCTTTGAAACCAGCCACACAACTAATTTCAAGTCTAAGCGATGAAGATCATTATTACCGCAATCTAACGCTATTTCTGCATCAAAATCCCGATACGAAAAATAACGAATCAGACGAAAAGTATTGGGAAGTACTTGAAGAATGTGACGATAAAGACTATGAGAACAAATTTTCAAAATTACCATATGCAGAATGCAAAAAGAGTTCAGTAATGTACACGTTCAGCGATAAACTGTTCCCAACTTCATTGAGCTGGCTCACAGCAGGAGGGTAAGCAGATTCAGAGTTAAAGACATTTTTATGGATTTTTATAATCGTTGATTTCATTAATTACCTACAGTGTCATTGGTATATACACAACATTTGTATTTGTGGCATCTCGATTCTTCCGTGGCCTTTTCTCTGGATCGAGCTTCAACATTATGTACTCTGAATTGCCATTCGTTGATCGAATACTTCAATTATGTTTGGACATTTACTTAGTGCGTGAATCGCTTGAATTTTCACTGGAGGAAGACTTATTTGGTGAGTTTTTAAATACATTTCGGAAGTCTTACACACCGACATAGAGAGAATTTAAATTGTTGACAAAATATCTTATTTTTTTTTATATTTTTAGCCAAACTGATATTCCTGTATCGGTCGCCTGAAGTTATGATACGTTGGACTCGGCCGGCTGAAGAGCAATCAACTGACGATGACGAAGACGAAAGTGACATTGACGAAACGCAAGCAGAGAAAGTACTCCGAAAAGCGCCATCACGTTCATTGTATAAATAAAATGTAAAACTCCAAAAAAAATCGATAGCTCTCAAATCAATTAATTCATTATGAATTCAAGTCAAATGTATTTTCATCTTCATATCATTTGGATTTATCATTAGATTAACTACTTGTTCTACATTACATTTAGAACAGTTTTTGATATTATTTAAATATATTTTACGTAGAATTAAAATTAAACAATAATCATTATTATTTCCTACATTGTGTGAAAAGTCTAGTAATTTAAAAATGGAATAATACGAGTATATGTTTTCATAAGCAATCAAATTAAGTATACACTTTTGAAATTAGAATGAATGGTTAAAGTAAATGAAACATCGTCATGTTATCAATGATATCACGTCATTTTTTCGAGTTTTCAATACAGAACAACGTCACGATCAAAGAATGCGATTCCATAGAGTCAATCCAGGCGAATGGACTTTGTTCGTACGTTGCTAAAATTATTCGAATAGAAGAGATTTATTTTTACGACAAACTAAAAGCAAAGAGAACTATTGTAATTGAAATTTAATAAAAACTGAACTGTGCACTAACATACGTTGTTTTAATGATTTCCAATCCTAAAGCTAATTTGTTCCGGGAACAGATATATTAATTCCCGGAACAAAATCCAATATTTAAATAAAAGTATATTAGATTGATTTCAACCATCTGAGTTAAATTGATTGATTTCGAAATAAAAGTATATTAGATTGATCAAGTGTTCACAAATGTCAGCATTGACACTGCGCATCAAATGATGCTTGCATCGCTAGTGCCTTCGTTGTGCGTTTGGAGCACTTCGTGCGCTGACGAAGATACAAAGCACTATAATGATGTGCGTTATCAATGCTGGCATTTGTGAACACTTGCTTTATACGTATGACTCACAATGCCTTCTTTAAGGAATCCACACATGACTGTCCGTATGAATGATTCAAAGTCCACTGCCTTTCATGCATTGTCCGTCCGTCCTTCCAACATATACGTCTGTTGTTATTTTTTATATTCAAATCGCTGTCTACTCATTTATATCCACATCCATGAATTTTCCGGACATGTCCGTCCGTCCAACATATCAATCCGTTTAATGTTCGGTCAAATTCTTAGGGTGTCTTTCCGTCCGTCAGGCTGTCCGCAGGGACATAAGTGCCTGGACGGACGGACAAAAACAGTGACGTACGGTCAAAAATAGTTGAAGTATATTACGTACGGACGGTCAAAATGTCCGTACAACAATAGTGATATAATAGTTTTTCTATAAGATTGATTTTAACCATAGGACTTCGATATAAATGTGAATTTGATTGATTTTATCCATAAAAAAATCCAATTTTTGGTGATTTTTATATGAAAAATCATTTATGCCACAAAACTAACGCCAGAGTTAGTTTTCTCGTGCCAAAAAACCTCGAAAACCTTAAGTACAATACCATAGATAAACAAGCATATACTTATCACTGTGGTTGGTATTGGTATTAACAGATCTTTGCTGTCGCTCTCTCCTAAAGGAATTCCCTTAATATTCCTTCAATCATTTTCATTCTTAACTAAATATATCACTTTACTTTATTGAGGACAATAACAAATACCAAAATTACAAATGCATTCTTTTGTATTCATAATAATTATGTTAATGTTCTATAGCATACAAAAAACGTCATTAGTAAGATTATTTAAATGTGTAGGTAAATTGCGAATTGGCCGAAAATTGTTAAATGTCGCAATTTACCAACAAATTCAAACAATTCTAGTAATGATGTTTCGTATATGAGCCCGTATTATAGCAGGTGTTGTTTAATGCAAGGTTGTGTGTGCATTCTCTACCTGAAATGACCTTTGAAATGCATTAATTACTAATTAGTAATTAGAGTACGAAATTCCACCTATGTATTGCAATTTTTGTGTGTTTTGCCTAATGATCCCTGATGTAAAAGTGGGTATAAAAGGAGTACTTTTTAGAAGAAATTTTCACTTTTCTTTTGGCATTCAACTCTTCAGCATCTAACAAAAGTTATTTGAAAAAGCTAAAAATTTGCAATTGTTTTTATTTGTTCATACAATTTATTTTAGAACGAACTTATTATAACAGAAGTTTTAAAATATCTTTAAAAATATCTGGCAAAAAAAAGAACTAGAATTTTTTTTGAATGAAATCATTAAATTGCAAGTTAAATTTGTGTTCAGATTTATACGGCATTGATTGAAATTAACTCTCTCAAGTGAAATTAAATTTAAAGTGAATTAGTGAAAAAGTAAAAAAAAAAAACATTGACATAAAGTAAACACTTTAGAAGTTAATAGAAACATAAAAGAAGTTTTACGCTATACTTATTATCATAATAATGGACATCAATCCAATCGAAAACGAAATGGTCGAAATGAACGATATGGCGATCGTAGCATCAGCACCATCAGGCTATGAACTTTCAAATCGCCGTAAAAGTAATCGGCAAATCCGACGGCCAATACGCTTTCGTGAATCTAGCACAAGCGAACAGAACAATCCCACCGAGTGTGTTGACAAGGATGATTCTAAAATTTCACAAAATTTGAATTCATCTGAAGAGAAAGATGAACTTCCATTCAACAACATCGTTACGTCGACGCCGATCAGAAAGCAAGCCAATGCTCAGCTAACCATGATCGCAAAAAATGAAGAAGACAAGCCTACGAATGGAATTTTAAATCAACTATCAATGGTGAAAATGCCGTTAGAAGAAAGTGTAAACTCAGCCAAAAAGCAACGCATTGATAGTGAAGGTCAGAAGATATCAAATAATAGTGTCACCATAGCATCGAAAAGAAAGCAAGCAAGAAAGGAAGCCTATGAAAAAATGGCTAAAAAACCAAACACGAAAAAAGTTGTTGTGAATAATGATCCCCAGCCTTCGACCTCAGCAGCGGTCAAAACAGCAAACATGAAGGAAATTATTGTGAATAATGATCCTCAGCCTTCGACCTCGGCAACGGACATATCAACACGACTGAAGTTGACAACGGTAACCATGGATGAGTTACCATTAATTGGCACCTGCAAGGGAATTAAGCGAGGCGTACGAAGGCCATACAATCGTGGCGTTCGTGCTTTTCATCATAGTAAAATTCGTAGACAAGATTCACAAACGAAAATGGTTGATGAACTTTATGCGCACAAAAACGCATTGCGCATCCAAACAGAACTGTATACAAACATCGCCAAACTACGTGAATCAAAGAAATTTAAGCGTTGGTCAAGTAAAATGCACCGTTTGAACAATCGAACGGGATTACTTCGTGATACGTCATCACCCCGAATCCGTATGCCGATTCTTGCAACACCGTCATTCGTAACCGAAGAAGGCTTAAACGAACTTAAAATCAATGAAATTATGGTTAGTCATAAATTAGGAGAATTGCTTGATAAAGTAAGACCAGATAAAGAGATAGAAAAACAAAGTCTAAAGGAATTGAAGGACAATCTTGATCTACCGACGAGAGAAAAACAAAAGGAACATAACCGAATTCTCTGCAAAGGAAAAGTAAAGAGAGCCCAAGCTATTGCTCAAATAATCCATAAACACTTACCTGATAATACAATGATTCGGAACAGGTTTGTAAAGAAAGGTATATACAGCATGATTGCCGAGAAATTGGAAGAAAGGAAATGATCCAAAAAGTAAAATTCTGATGATTTCATCGATTTTATTTCATTATTTGATTTATTTTGTATTGTTTTTCAACAGATGGAAATTTATTCATTTTGATTTAATGAAAAAAAAAAAAAATTACAAAAATGTAAAAACTAAATAAATAAAAATAGAAACAAAACGTATGTCTTATTTATTCTCATTTCACTGCAGAACATTTGGATAAACTGGAATAAAAATTATTCAAAACTCTTATTTCAGGTGGTACAGAGACACTAATTACTTATCCATAATTAGTAATATACAAACATATAAAATTTTCAATTTATTTTAAGCAATAATACATCCTGTGGGTGAGGTACATTTGAAACTTCAATATTCCAAATATTCGTTCATCTTTTCCCATAGATCACTTCCGCCATCTATTGATGAAAGTTATTGTAAAAAATACTTGTTAAAAGGTTTACTGTGCGTTTCTCATCACGTAAAAAATTCGTAAAAAGGGACATTTTTGTCCAGTAATAAATTCAGCCTGAATCAATTATTCTTTTTTGCAATTTAAATTTCGAGAAAACTGCAGAAAAAATTCAAATAAATTAAAAATACATTTTTATTATGAACACAAAAAAAATTCAATAGTAATAATGAAAAGAATTTATTTTCTATAAAAATGCACCATATACGATGAATGAACAAAATATCCCATGTAAAATTATAATGAAAAATCTGAACGGATTAACTGGAAAAAAAACAATGATCTAATTGTAAAAGTTCAATTACATTTGCACAATAATCGTTGCCATATGATTTCATTCATTGATATCTTCTGTCATAAATCGCATTCTTTCTATGAATTATGTTGTTTTTAAAAAAAAGCGTTTAAATGTTACGTGCATACAGTATGGCCAACTGTGTGACAATGAAATGGTCGAATAGAGAGAAGAAATATCCCAATAATTTAAAGGCAACAACAAAACAAAAACAACCAGATCAAATGCCAAAGTATTTGTTTCATTCGGTCGCATGCGTGTTAAATGGACACAGTGCTGTCTATCTGTCTCTGTTATAATGCTTGTTCGTACTTTCTTTCTCGCTTCGTAAAAGTCAAACGATGAAAGAGGAAAAAAACTAGCAGAGTGAATCCAAACATTCGTCGCCATTACATTTTCAGTCATAATAACGGAGCAAATGAAAAAGACTCATACACTATACACCAGAGAGTAAATCATTGTGTTTCTTCTCATTGAAAATATTAAAAGAAGTTTCATTGCTCGTCATTTTTTGCATCATAACATTCAATTTATATCAATCTCGTAAATTTGCAATAAATATTTAAACATCGATCAAATATTGTGTATACGAATTTCACTAAATAAAAAGAAGAAGAAGAATTAAAAGTAAAAAAAAATGTTGCAATTGCATCGAAACAAATGTGAATAAAAAGAGATCGGTTTCGGTATTTGTGATTTCTTTTTCTTCGTTGTTTTTTTTTTTTTTCGTTGGTGTTTTCCTTTTCGGAGTGCGACAAATTCAATTGCTGAATATATTGAGAGGCGAAAATAATGTTTGATACGATTGCAATTGGTGCGATATCCACAGCGAAGAAATATTTTTTTGAAAATTGTACAACAAGCAAATTACATTTAAATCCAAAAGGTAGAGACTTTTAACTATTCATTCGGAATATGGTGATGATGAATGAGTGATGCGAGCGAGTATGAGAGTTTGTGCCCGATTCCAAGAACCAAAAAAAAATTAAATCTCTGACCCAATGTACTGTGTGTTATTTTCTTTTCATCTTCTCCATACTATTTTTCCCGTGTTGATTGTAAAAGTTGATTGCATTTCACATAGGTGAATGCTGTGTATTGTGTGCGAAAGAACTGTAGCTAGTTGGCTAATGAAATTGACAGATGAAAGAGTACGCACAATGTTTATTATTTAAAAAAAAATGAAAGCCGAAAATCTAATATTCAATTTTACTTTATTTTGGTGTAATGTATTCAATGAATTGGATTTCCCTTGAATAATTTGGTTGATGTTTTTGTTACAAACAGTGTCAATGGGGGAAAAGTCAAATAATCTATTAGTAGATGAGTGTTTCGAAGCGCCACCGCATTGCTTTTTTCAACATCTGTATATTTCCAAGCAATAAAACGATTTATGATATCAAAATTCTTTTGAATTTTCCGTAACACGAGCATGATTTAATGATTTTTCCATGAACGCGAAATAGAAAATATGATATTTATTCAATGTAAATGTTTGGTTGTCTATTGTACAGGAACACATCACAACCAGATATGAATGAAAGAGAAAGTATTCCAAGTGTACCAGTAACAACGCTAGCTGGTCTAGCAAGTGTGTCCGACTGTAAGTTCAATGCCAATCAATGATGTTTTTTTTTTTTTGAAATGGATATGAATACCCGAAATTAAAATGCATTTCATTCTATTTGTGCAGTGCTAAACGAGCTTCCAATATCAGATTCATCAGTTGGTACGCCATCAAAGAAATCATTACTCTTTCATCCGCGAGTTGCTGAAGAGGCTAACCATTTACTGTCTATGAAAGATGATGTGCTAACGCGTCAACTGACTGCAGCACTCGAACAAACGAATGCAGACCATATGTAAGCAATGCACCGAGACAAAAAAAAACCCACCTGAATTCACTGAGAAAAAATGCGTAATTTCTGATTTTTTTGCTCGTTTTTGTTTTCAGTGAACTTAAGCCACAATATGTGGAGCAACAACCTTCTGTAACGAATATGAATGAATTGCCGCACTTGCTGCAGGCAATATTACAAATTAAGCAAAATGTTTTCAAAACAGGCGGCCAGCAATATCAACATCAAAGACCACGTAAGTATTAAGCCGAATTCACGTTCATTTGTTAAACAAATTTCATATTCCATTTGCGTATGTGTGACTTATGCCAACTTTTTTCACCTTTATTTTAAATTCGAATAACAAATTTAACTATCTTAGGTTGTGTGTGTGTGTGTGTTTGCATAAATAAATTCATTTCCATTTTGTACATAAGAAATTATTTTATACAACCTTGTCAAAATTCACTTTCTATCATCTATTATTTCGCTTTTTTCTCTTTTATTTTCATCTGTCCTGGTGCTTTTTGTTTTCGCTTATTATGATCCGTTTTACACCAAAACAAAAATCAATTTAAAATATCACCGCCAATATATATTCATCACGTAATTGTCTAACTACCCCCTTCGCTAAAAAAACATACAAAAAAAACAAATACCATTGAATAGCCACCCAAACTAATCATATGTATCAACATGCTCAAAATTTCAATTCAGCGCAAAATTCGATGCAACAAAATTCATTTTGCTCAGCAGGAAATCAAATGCAATGGAATCAACAGCAACAACAACAGCAACAGCAGCAACAATATTCCGCGCAATTACAGCAGTCATTCAATTCACAAAATCAAATGATGCATCCACAACAACAACAGCAGCAGCATATCCAATATCAACAGCAACAGCAACAGTTACAGGTAATTTACCGGCAAAAATGAAACGTCTATAATTGATCTTTAAAAAATAAATGAATGGTTTTTGTTTACACATCCTTTATTTGTTTTCATATTATAGCATCAACAACAACAACAACAACAACAACAACAGCAGCAGCAGCAGCAGCAGCAGCAGCAACAGCAAATGTATAACTCGCAAAACCCAATGATGAACTCATCACAACACATGCAGTATCAGCAACAAATGCAGGTAAGCGCCGCGAGAAAAAAAAAAATTTTGTAAAAAGCCTCATGAATCTAATGTCTTTCAATTTCATTTCAGCAACAAATTACTCCAAATCAAATGCCACAACCAATGGTTGTTAAGCAAGAGTATGCATACGGAAGTATGGAGCAAAGGTCTCAAGATGCTTATGCAATTCAGGTGATTAATTTTTATTTCAGATTTAATTCACATTTTTCGATCGTTCTATTGGCGATTGAGTTGTGTATTAAAAAAATGCAAATAATTAACAATGAGTGTGATCTGTTTAGCAAAATATGTACGAGATGCCGCAACAGGTTATTCAGTCGCAATTGCATCAGCCGTACCAAACGTCCGATCAGAGTCAATCGCCACAAATACAACACCATTCACAACAACAATCATACCAAACCGTAATACAAAATCAGGCTCAGCCTATGCAAAACGTCGCACATCACCAAACGCATGCCATGCAACAGCAACAGCAACAGCCTCAACAACAACAACAACAGCAACAGCAACCGCATCCGACACCGCAACAACACCATCAAACACAATCACATGCACATCAGCAATCTCAAAATCAAAATTCACGATTCGACACATTTGACAGCATCAAATCAACGCCAACAACACCATCGCAACAGTCACACGCGAACCGCTATGCAAACAACATTGGGTATTTATTCAATAATTTTGTTGTCATTTGGCGCCAATTCAATTGACATTTTGTCTTATTTTCCTTTGTGTGAATAGAACGCCTCAAAATAATAGATTTGGTAGCCGACCATCACAGAATGATTTCAATCAGCTCTTAGGACAACCAAAAATGGAAATGCATCAATCATACCAGCAAAGAACAAATAATCAATTGCAACAAATTAACGAGATCCTAATGAAAAGCAAATCATCGTTCAATAGCTTGCAGAAAAATCAAGATCAGATGAAAGTGTTTCCAGAAGATCCACCGCCACCGCCAAAACCAGCGCCATGCAATTCGTCGAACGACAAAAAATCGCTGAAAATTCAATTGAATCGATTGAATCCGGAGCATATCGAGCGAATGGGCAAAAGTGTATCCGAATTTGCAAAAAATTCACCCGAATCAGCGAAAAAATTGGGCGTGATCAAGGATGATATGGACATTTTCTCATTGATGAAAGCCGACGAACGCAATCTCAAACGAAAAACAACACAGAATGACGTTTGTCCGTGTAAGTAGAAGATGAAGTACAAAGATATTTTTTGTTCAACATTGTTTTTTGTTGTTTTTCAACCGGAAACATATTGTTTTCATACGATTCGAGTCGGAACGTTGTTTTGACGTCTTATTAATTATTTGTTTTGATTTCATTTGCTTTTTCGCAGTTTCACAACCAAAACTCAAGAGAGTTTGCCAAGACATGAATCCGAAGACAAATCATGAAGATGTTCAAAAATCCCAAACATACCAACAATTCGTTCGTAATATGGAGAATGAAATCAGACATTTACAAGACAGTGAACACTTTTACAATCACGGTGAGTCATCGTTTATACACTTTTTATCTTCAATGTAATGGTTATTTTATTGGTGTTTTTTCCCTTCCTGCCACAGATGATGTTGATTATCACAGTGACTGCATTTCGAAGAAAACACTCAACCAGCTATCGAGTGATGTGGCCAAACTGAAGGCAAAGGGCGCTGTTGACGCATTGAACAAGAACAAATTAACGCTTTTGATCAATTTTGCCATGCGTAATGTCGATGTGGCCAAAAACTTATCAGCTGGACCCGTTAGTATTTCTTTTATCAATTTTCAATTTGATTACATTTGCCGGGCCTTGATTACATTTGTCATTTAATTTTTAGGATATTGAGGATGATAGTGAAGAGCAAATCGATAAGATTTTGGATGCGGCCGAAGCCTGTTTGCTGATTTGCAATTTATACTCAACGACAAAAGATGTAAAATTCCTGCAAGAAGATAATATGGATAAAATCGTGAAATTTGCCCAATTACAAATGCGTGAAACGATCTTTCCAACATTCGATCCGGTATTTTCGTTGCGAAGTACCAAGAAAACCGACGGTCGCAAGAAAAACAAAACGCAAAATATGAATAACAATCATGGTGTAAATGTGTCTCGCAAAGTACAACTTTTATTTAATAAATTAGTGGAGTTGACACGTATATTTGTCACATTGTTTGATAAATGTGCGTTCATCGATACGATTGTGTTGGCTGTGTCTACATTGGCCGTTGAACCGTTTTTCGTCGATAACATTGAAGCCATGCAATTTGCTTGTCTCGAGCTAATCACAACGGTAAATCATGAATATTGACTTTAGCAATGAATACAAGACAAAATGAAACAAAAATGTGCTAATTAAATATTCTCTTCCATTTCTTATGCACAGATATTCCGCAAAGAGAACTATGTGAACTATCGAAATAGTATTTTAAACGATATTTTCGCATCGGTGGATCGTCTGCCGCAATCAAAGCGAAATATGCGACCATATAAACTATCGCACAACGGTGGTAGCATTCAAATGATAACTGCCTTAGTATTGCAGTTGATTCAATGTTCAACAGTGTTGCCGGAGACCTTAACCGATTTGGCAAAATATCGAAAGAAAATCAATCAAGGCGATATGGATGCCAAATTCGACAAAGATGTAATCGTTAAAGAGAAACACGACATTGCATTGAGCATTGGCGGCAATTTTCTAACCACTTTTCTCGATAAATGCAAAACACGATCGAGCGAAACTGATTTTCGGCCATTGTTTGAAAATTTTATCACGGATTTGCTGACAACAGTAAATCGACCCGAATGGCCAGCATCCGAATTACTTCTTAGTCTTTTGGGCACACTTTTAGTTAAATACATGTCTGACAAATCAATGGATCAATCGATACGAGTGGTTTCACTAGAATACTTAGGAATTGTTGCAGCACGTTTGCGAAAGGATACAGTCGAATCTCGATGCAAAGTCGATACCATGGATCAACTAATCAAATGCATCAAATTGGAACAAGAGAAGGAAAACGATTTGGACAATGATGAGGTGAGTTTGGAATTGGACACAAAAATCAAATGTATTTGTTTCATTTCACATGTTTTTAAATTTTACAGTGTAAAATCGTGGTCGATCCAGAAGAAGAGCGTACCGAATTTCTTCAACGAATATTGCTTGATTTTTTGGCTGTAAATGCGCACGAAGACAATTTGGTGTACGATTATGCTCGACATTTTTACTTGACACAATGGTATCAAGACGCACAACAACGGAAAAAGCGCGTTGCTCAGGGTGAAAAGGGGTTTGCATCGCGTAAAAAACAAACAAAAAAGAATCGAAAGTATCGAGACTCTGAATCATCGCTGGACGATGATAGCGATGATGATGACGATGATGATGATGTCAAAGCTGTAAAACCTGGCGGCACCGATCAAGAGCTCAATTTAGAAATATTTCGATTACTTGATAATCGTAAGAAATATCTGCTATCAAAAATCACCTCATTTTCACCGAACAGCAATGTTCAAGACATAAAAACCTATATCGATTACAATAATGCAAATTTGATTGCACAATATTTGGCCAGTAAACGTCCGTTTTCACAGAGTTTCGACATTTATCTGCAGAAAATTATATTGGTGGTGCGCGAACAATCGATCGGCATTCGAACAAAAGCAATGAAATGTTTGGCCTTAATCGTTGAAGTCGATCCATCGATATTGAAGCGAAGAGATATGCAAATCGGTGTGAGTCAGAAATTTTTGGATACATCGATTTCAGTGCGCGAGGCGGCTGTTGATTTGGTTGGCAAATATGTGCTTAACAGTCCAGAATTGATAATTCAGTATTACGATATGTTGTCCAAACGAATACTTGATACGGGTGTGTCGGTCAGAAAACGGGTCATTAAAATTCTACGTGACATTTGCATTGAGTATCCGAATTTCACAAAAATACCGGAAATTTGCGTAAAAATGATTCGACGTGTCAATGACGAAGAGGGCATTCAGAAATTAGTCACCGAAGTGTTTATGCGAATGTGGTTTACACCGTGCGCAGACAACGATAAGGTAGAGCAATGAATGTGTGTTTAATCATTTTGAAAATTACTTATTTCTTTTCGTTCCATTTGAAACAGGCATCTATTCAACGGAAGATCGGCCAAATGATTGACGTTGTGAGCATGGCACATGACACTGGCCTACAATGGCTTGACGGACTTTTGACCAGTGTAAGTTTTTGTTTTAAACACTTGAAAATTTCTTTTCTCGAGTAGATCTTATCAAAATACATTGGTTCATTTTAGATATTCACACCGAAAGAAGAAAAAGACATCGATCGAACGGCGAATGCGCCGAAAAAGGAACCACCGAAAGAAGTAGTGAAAGCGTGTCAACAACTCGCCGATGGATTGGTTAATGAGATTTTGAAATTTGAAGCGTCGGACAGTAAGAAGGTGCTGAGTTGTGTGACAACGTTGCATTTGTTAGCCAAAGTTCGACCAGCATTGCTTGTAAACCATGGTATTACATTGGAACCGTATCTTAATACACTTGCATCGACTGCCAACGGATTGAAATTCATTAGTTGCATTGCTGAAATTTTGGAGCAAGTGGTACCGTTGATGGAACATCCGAGTGAATCGTTCTTGGTTGACCTCGAAACACATCTTATGGTGTTGGCGTGCAGTCATAATCAAGTCGTAGTCAATAGTTGTCTATCATGTTTGGGTGCTGTTATCAACAAAATCACTAAAAACTATAGGCTCATTCGAGATTGTTTCGTTCGGTAAGCAATTTGTATCACTCTATCTTATTTTATACTTTTATCTTACAAATTGATTCTTCAATGCAGAAAATCAAAATTCTAATCAATCACTCATTTCAATCGTACAATCATAGGTTCTACAAACCAATCATCAATAGTCACAATCAATTGCAAAAGCAACCAAATTATCCGATTGCCAATATATATCGGCCGCAATTCCGTCGTGGTTTGTTCACAATCGGTTTGATGATGCGATTTTTTGATTTTAAGAATCCAAATGTGTACGGTGATGGTTTGGGTCCCGAAGAAGCCGGTCTACCATCAACCATATGCAGTGATACATTTGAGCATCTATTCTATTTTTCAACGATTTCCAACCATAATGAGATTCGCCGTGAAGCGCTCGTTGCTCTTGGCCATTTTTGTATACAAAATTACGATTATTTAGTTGATACAAAACTTCGGAACCTGTACTGTGATATTCTGACATCGGAAAATTACGATGTAAGCGTAAAAATAATTGTTCTACGCAATATTCAGATGTATTTGAATGACGCAGATATGTCGATGTCAATGAAAGACAAAGACTGGCAAACGCAATCGTTGGTAGAAAATTTATCGGATATGAATGATGTGGCATCGGGCATGGCGAGTCGAATTATTCAATTGTATCTCAAGGAAATTCTAAGCAGCTTGCTACACAGAGACGTGAATGTGCGATCAAATGCAATCAAAGTTATCCAATTGGTATTACAACAAGGTTTGGTTCATCCGATGACAATTGTTCCATATCTGATTTGCGTGAGCACTGATTCGGTGCGAGAGAATGCTCATCGATCCGATCATCATTTGCAAGAGATTGATAAACAGTATCCAGGTTTTGTACATATGAAATCACAGGCTGGCATGTCACTGTCATTTGAATTGCAAACGGTGCTACAAAATAAAGAAAATGAACGAAACGCAGTCGTTCGTGGCTATTGTGTTAGAAATAAAGACGAACCACCATCGGCGCTCAATAGTTTTCTATATACGTTGTTACGCACAACAAAACCACAACGACGTGCACTCGTCCAATGTATGATCAAACAATTCGACGAACAAAAGACAACACTGCGGCACATGATCTATTTGGCTGATAATTTGGCCTATTTTCCATACACAATGCAAGACGAACCACTTTATATCATTCATCAAATCGATTTGCTGATTACTGTTGCTGGAACCAGTCTATTGCAGACATTCAGAGAAAATCTGAAGCCTATGCCAGGACAAGAGCAAACCGATCCAAATGCACGTGAGTGTAATCTTATTTTTTTTTTCTTCATTAAGTCAAATTTAAGAAAAAATGAAGTAACATTTTGATTTTCTTATATTTTCAGCAAAAAATGTATTGGAAGATGATGACGAAGACGACGATGAGGACATTGAAGTGCTCTATCATAGGCTGCCGGAGAGTACATTCGAACTAGAGAAATGCATAACCGCTTCGCAAGGTTGCATTCTTTTATTGATGTTGAAACAACATCTAAAAGACCTGTACAAAATCAATGATAAGTAAGTGGTGTTTTTATTGATTCTAAATTGGTCTCCTTTGAAATATTATATTACTATTTTTAAATTTCAATTTAAAATCTAACTGATTTAATTGTTTTTTTTTTGTAGCAAAATCTCTCGATACACTCCATCGGAAAATACCAAAGTGTACGATAAAGTCGTTCACCGAGTTCAAGTGCCGAACTTCAATCCAAAGCAGACAATCGACATCATAAACAAGGAACGATCACAAGATATTGAGTTGTCCGAAGCCGAGAAACGGCAACTACTTCAACAATATTTGGACGTAAGTTCACACAAATTTCATACGAAAAAGCTTTCAACTCGATTGTTTCTCAAAAATCCCAAATAAATTGTTGAATATTTTTTGAATTTTTAGTTCAAACAACTCATGTTGAAGATCGACAATGAAGGATCGGACGATGAATCAGATACTGCAATCAACAAATCAGCGACAACAACTCCGAAAAAAATTGATCCAAATGAGTATGGTGCAAATACCCATGCGCAAGCGCAATCGTATCAACAGCAACCAATCCATGTAAACAATGTGAACAATGCAATAATAGGCAATGCTGGACAAACTCCATTACAAGCTCTTCCCAAGGTATTGCCCAATCTAAATAATCCATATACACGTTACACCTGATATAAATGAAATGACAAATTTGCCTAAAAAAACCAAAAAAAAAACCAAAACATTTTTTGAGACAAACCGTTTTTAAACAAACAACAAAACCACCTTCCTTTCTCTTCCCTCTCTTTGAATGTTCTCTGTATCTCTCTCTCTTTCTGTTTCGTTCTTTGTTTTTTTTCTCTTTCTCTCAAACACATACTCTCTCTCCACACACAACAACAACAACATATCGATAAAATTATTCCATTCCATGTAGAATATGATGAATAGCCATGGTTATCCGACATCGGCGTTGGCCACCGCACCGAAATCAATGCCGATTCGTACAATGCAAAAAACGCCGAAACGAAAACAGTCATCGTCTGCACGCAAATCATCGCGTGGTGGCAAACGTATGCGCAAGAAAAGCCAATTTCGATCATCATCTGAAGACGATGCCAGTGATTATAGCGATGACGATTATGAATAGAAGTGACGACACAAAATCAAATCTCTCTCTCTCACAATCAATCAATCAATTGTATCGCTGAACGCTCCTTATAAACTCCCACACACACACGAGAATATATCAATTTTTATTTTCTTTCATTTTGTTTTCAACGGTAAAATTTTGTGAAAAGAAATGTTTTTTTTTTTAAATTTCGAAATTTATTTTCTGATCGCATACACTTTTTTGGTTTTTATTCCCTTTGGTTCTCTTTTTCTCGAAGTAAAAGATTGTTTATTGGATTAATAATTTAAAATGTTGCGCATTTTGGGTTTTAACGGAAAAATGTGGACACCATTTTACAGTTAAGATCACATTTCAAATTAAGATTGTGTATGGAAGAAAAACGTACACTATAGCAATTGTTGTATAAATGATTACATAAATCAATTTATTTGAGTTGGGCGCAGCTAAAATCAATAGTTTAAAATTAAGTGTATATTTAAAAGTATAAATGAAAAAGTTCACCTTAAACTTAGCTTAAAACATTTGAAAAATAAAACACTCCTCCCACACAAACACAACACATCTATTTATATAATAGCAAAAAAAAAGGATAAAAAATTGAATCATACACCAACAAAATCCATAAAATTGAGGAACAAAATGAGCAAAAAAAAAAATTAGTTGGAATTATTTATTATTCATTCACAACAAAACAAAAAAAAAACTCTAAAAATGTTAGCTTAGATAAGTTTAGAAATTCTGAATGAGATGAAACACTCTCAAATCTATGAAAATATTTAAGTCAAATGGGCCACTGGCAATGGCACAAAACGTAGTAGATTCAATTGAATACTACAATTATTTCTGTATTTTTATGAGAATAAAAAACTAACGAAAATAAATAAAAGGGAAAAAACAATAAGCAAATGTGTATATTACAAGTGACAAAAAGAGACGATGATCGAAATCGCAAGAATAAATTCATTCAATCATCGATGACAAAATGATCTATTTAAACAAAAAGAGATGTAAAGAACAAACAAGAGAAAATTAGAGTTTATAAAATGCCACAAATAAGAAACAAAGAAAAATCTTAACAATGTATGTAATTAATTCTCCATTGAAGACCAAGTTTGCATTTTTGTTTTCTCTTTTTTCTCTTATATTTTCCACTCACACACAACGACCATTATCACAACCACTCATTTTATTAATTGAGCTCATTCATTATTGCATATAAATGCTTAGTTTCAATCGGCTTCTAATCTTTTCTGAATAAACAAGACGACGAAAGAAACATATATATACATAGAAATGATTTTCTATCTCATTCATCAACCTCTTTTAGTCTTAACAGAAACACACAAACATCCCTTTAGAATTTTTAATGCATACTTAATGGCAGAAATTTTTCAAACTTTCTTCTTAATTTAAGAATTCCTTCTCTCAATTTTTTTTTTTTGTAAAAAAGAAACATTTGTAGAATGTAAGAGTTTTTTAAAAAAAACAAAAATTGACAAACAAATTGAAAAAAAAATCATAGAAACATAGAAACGGTATTTTTCTGCGATTGAATAAGGAATGACACAATATGGAATTTTGTGCTAATTCTTTATTTACGTTTGTGTGTTAGTAGAAAAAAATTTAAAATAAAACGGAAAAAAATGGAAATGAAATATACTTCTAATTGTTAGCAAAGAATTATTTGACAAACGCATACACATGTATTATTTTTAACCGAATTTTTTTTTGCTAATTTAAAAATAAAAAGAATGAAATGGAAATACATTGAAAATGAATTTGAATTTTTGACTTTCATTACTGATTTACTTTCTCTTTATTTTCTCTCTCTCTGTGTTGCACAACAGCATCATTCCGACAGATTAAGCATTTGGTAAGTATTGTTTATAACAAAAAGATAAATCATAGCAATTCTATTAAATCAAGAGAACAAAAGAGGTCGAATCGTATAGTAACAAACTGAATGTGTGGTTTTGTAAATTATTATTATCATTGTTCATTTAATTTCATTATTTTCAGTAGATTCTGTACGATGATTCAGTACATTAAGCAATTTTCGGTGTTTATAATTTTTATTAGAGTCGATGTGACTTTGGCAATGCAATGCAAATTTGAGAACAAAAACCGACTGCCGAGTCACTGGGATGCGATTCAAAAATTCATGAGACTTACGAATGTATAATATCTTTCGCATCAGTTGCACAATAAATTTTAATTTTCGAGTAATTTACATTGATATCAATAAAGTGTTTAAATTATAAAAGTAATGTTCGCTTGGCTTCCGTTCAACTGTTTTTAGCCGAATGGCACCATAGGACTTTTATGCGAAAATTGCTGTTATAATTCATAAGTTTGTGAACGAAACAAAAAAAAAACATTGTTATATGGACTACTTTCACTTGAAGAGGAGTTTCACACCTCTTCTACATAAAATCGGATGTAAAAGATGCTTGCACATAAAGTTTCTTTATTTTTCTTCATTCGCAAAACCAAAAAGTACAATCATTGCAGTAAATACGAATGAAATTTATGGTCTTAAGTTGAGCGAAAAGTTTTTATCGACTGTGTTACTGATGACCATCACCACGCAAGAAGAGCGAAAACGAGTCTAAAATCGAAATCAAATGAAAAACCAGATCAAAACATAGAAAACCAAACGAAAACCATCTGAACGTTCAGAGTCGACCTACAAAAAAAAATTGTCTCTAGCATATACGATCCGTACATTTGACATCCCACCGTGTGACTCATTCCTAGAAGAGCGCTAAATGTGAAGCAAAAAAACGAAAATAAATTTCTACAATGCGATGACAAATATATGTATTACAAGAGAGTACATTCATGTTTTATAATTCATGCAGCGTCACAATCAAACGAAGCGTACATTTATAAACGTGCTAAAAACATTATGTTTGAACACATTAATACGTAGAATATTACAATCATCATCAAATCGTTTAAAATCAATTTGGATAAGTTGTTCGCCTCACATTTGGCCTAAGAATCAATTTTCTTTTTGGGGGTAAAAATGAGATGGCACAATTGCTATTTTCAACGATGGTGCACATGTGTGAAAGAGTCGCGTGTATAGAATGGCTCCACCCTTTTACAATGGTGGTTGATATAACCAATGATTATTATACACAAATGGAGAGAGAGAACAAGTCAACGAGACATATTCCATTGTTCTTGGTGCAGAAGGGGCTGAAATATGCAGATAGAGCGTAATATCCATGCGCTACACAGTCACTTTTTATCCATTTAAATGGAGATTTCCATGTTGTACCGCATATCTGAGTCGCGTGATGGAAAATAGCTGCCAACGTACCAAGAAAAGTGGATAAAATGTGTCCTGTGCACCATATCGTACACGTTTACAGAATCACTGTGTTAAATGTAATTGTTATTACATCCTGATTGGACGAAATCGTTTTAACTGTTACTGTTCTGATACTTTTATGGTGTGATGTTGTTTGCCTTTAAATATGTCGCTCATCGAAACGCTTTGTAATGTGATTTTCACGGGCAGTTGAATTGCAAGAGCTGAAAATCAGTTTGTCAGTCATTATCGGCAGCGTTATCGGTTCGCAAGGATTTTCAGAGTTTTCTTAAGACCATCACACTCTTATTCGTTCATTTCGATTATTCGAGTGCTTTAAGTCGGACCGTTATGTTGAGTGTGTATGTTTGTGTTTCAACATCAAATTAAATACCAATTTGTTAACAGTCTAGACAACAGACGATATGGCTTAGTGTGCCATTTTATGTGGTGTAAATTAAAAAGATAAACCAAAGTTTACAATATATATATAGATTTTGTGCGCCTTTGCGGTTAATTTTTCAATTAAATTGTGAATTTAAGTTCAAGTGCATTTGAGAGAGAATAAAAAAAATTCTATAAAATGGAACAATTAGCACATTTTGTGACCAAATCATTTGAATACAACAATAATAATCGAGTGTTGGATGTTTTGAATTTAACAACAAAATCCGGCATTTTTGATCATTTAAAATCGAATGATTCAATGGATACACTTTCGAATCTGGGATCGGATGATAATGATGCGGATTCAGTTGATATTGATATCACCGATGTCTCGTCCAATGATGGCAATGATAGCAAAATTCACAATGAAAATGATAATAATAACATAAATGTTATTCGACAATCAATCGCTAAAAAATTGAACAAAGAAAATCACAAACAATTGACTAAAAATTGGCTCATCTCTGATACACCGAAGAAAAAATGCGACAATGGTATGAGATTTTGATTGCCGACGGCAATTTACTACATGTTTGCATTTCCATTATTAACAAAGCTGGAAATTATCTTCTTTTTTATCATTTGTTTCTCTGCTGAAATTGCCTTATAAAATTCAGTTCAGAATTTTTTTGATGATACAAAAAACCAAATTTTGTTGAAAATTCAAAAAATGTCCATTTAATCATTTGTAGAGAATAACATCGAAGATGCTGAGTCTGAGGTGGCATTGAATTTGATTTGTGTGGATGAATCAACGCAACAGACAATTGACATTCCGATTCGGCCACGGTCTATAAAAGATTTTAAGAATGTAATGAGCAAAAAACAAAATCGTGCAAATGAAATGACCAAAATTGATTCGGAATCGAAAAGTAAACAACGATTAGATAGAAACGATTCCAATGTTAGAGCAGGTAAATCAATTTTGTAAATGAAATATTTTAATTTTAGCCTTTAATATGCTATAATGTGAGTGAAAAGGATAAATATGCCTCGAAACTATAAAAAAACAACTTGTCTAATGAAGTGATAAAAATTGGTAATAAATGTATACAATCCCCTTCGTTGAATATCGGTAATAAGCGACAAACATTTTAAACCATATTATTGAGATGTGTCAATAAAATGTGGTAACGAAATGAAATACAAAATGCATAAAAACAGATTTAAACACTCGAAATTCGGATGATTCATCGAATGTCGTATCATTCGAATTGGTTTGAAATATTTAGATACTCAATGGACTGAAAATCGTAAAAAAAATGTTAACGCCGATCTAAAGAGCGATGCTTAAAAGAAAACTGTATGCAAAAAATAAATCAGTTTTGAGAGCGCCCCATAATATTTAAACAACCATTGTGATGCACACACACACACGCACATGCACCAGTTCAAGTGACGATTTGTGAATCGTAAAAGAAAGTCCATTAATCAAAAAAATAAAAGGGTAGTAAATAGAAAACAGACTTTTTAAACCGCAGTTAAACACCCGTCGGGATTTACTGCTATTTTAGATGCTCATTTCTCGGCAATTGTTTCCTTCTCATGCAAATCAGGGTGATGACAAATTTTCAACGACCAATATAATGCTCGCTTAATCGAATGTTGATGAAGATTTTCAAATAATTTCATTCAATAACAATCACAGTTTCGTTTGACAAATCAAAGTTTTTCATAGTATTTCTTTTATCTTTTTCACAGACAAAGACTCAAGGATTCTAAAGCACAAACAGTCGACAGATGTGGATGGAAAAGATAAAGACTCGAATGTGTCAAATGGTCAAAAAGTGCAATCATCAAAAGGTGATACAAAACACGAAGGTGTGTCACAGTCATCGTTGGCTGCATCGATAGCGAGTGCGATTATTGGTTCGAATCAATCGGGAAGTGTGAATAATTTGAGTACGAATAACAATACGGCCAGCAGTAATTTGGTTAATAATAAACAAAGGCGGTCGCGAACAAATTTCACGTTGGAACAATTGAATGAATTGGAAAAACTTTTTGAAGAGACCCACTATCCAGATGCATTTATGCGAGAAGAACTCAGCCAGCGGTTAGGTTTAAGCGAAGCTCGAGTACAAGTAAGTGATGGAAACTTTCGAAGAAAAACTACTTTTCCACACAAGATTTATGCGTTTAGTCTTAAAAGCCGTCTTTTTTTTGCGACGCTTAGAAACTACATTTTCTGCGTGATTTTTATTGAACCATCAAGCTAATTCATTACAGCAGACTTTTCTTTTGTTATTTTTCACTTTGGCACAGTGCCTTTTTCCAATGCATCGACATCGACGCAACCAGCCATTTATAACATTCACTCCAATCAATTAGTGGAAATTAATGTCCATTTTGTTTCAATTGGGTAGCTGAATAGAAACATTTATCTATATATTTATCGATTCGATGTGATTAAACAAGTTTTCAGTGCACTATCGAGTGTTGGCAAGTGGAGGGTGAGCGTGAAGACACGATTAAACGATTCAAACAACGATTACATAATGGTTTTCTCCTCTCCGTGGTCCTTTCTAACCATATCGCTGGGATTGTTTTCGAGATTATGTCATTTTCACAGCACATTACATGCGCAACAATCCGATTGAAAGGTCTCAATGTTTTTTTTTTGTTGTGATTTGCACTACATGTTACATACATTCCTATTAATATAATAGATGTTTATTCATGGGTTGTAATTTCAGCGCATAATATTACTATTGTCACCCCATATACCGATTGAAGACAGTGATTGATAGCAACCATCTTAATTTACTTAAGTGTTATTTTATGTGTTTGCCCATACTCCATATCCATTTGGTTGCTCGCTTTCTTTCTTTCCTTTTTTTTCTTTACATATCCATCCACTCAATGCACCGTGAGTGATTTTTTGTAACTCTCAAGTGAGCGATTGTTTTCACTGTCAAGTCATTGAAACATAATTTCATTGTCGATGCGGTTAATTTATCTCTCTGCCTTGAAGCAAACCAAAAAAGTGTTCACTTTTTGAATGATTCAATGCATTTCGGGTCACTTGCTCCATTGACTTTTATTCGTGCAAAAGGACAAAGTTCAAGTGAAATACAAACAAAATACGTAAATACAAGATGCAAATAGACTTGATGAGTAAGTCAAAAACATAATTCTAACACATTCACTTACATTGTATCGGTCATTTATTTATTTAAAAAGAACTCGTCTTGAATTTCCAAAACATCTGGCCGAATCAGTGCAAATATATTTCGATGAGCATTTATTGTTCCAATCATCTTCACTGCCCAATAATCCTTTTGGCCATTGATTATTTGTCGAATGCATTTGGAATACAACCGCATATTCGTGACTTAATAAATCAGACAAGTGAATCATGTTGTGTTATGCAATGCACAATGTATTTCGTATGACACCGAAACAAATTAAAATGACTCTTTTTCTGTCCTTTGCATCGAATCGAAACAGGACGCCGAAAACCAATCGAAATCTGTACATTGTACAACATGTAAACAACAAACATTGTGATTGCGTTCACCACCACCCGCAATGCCATGCTAAGAACAAAACACAATGATGAAGAACGTTCACAAATCTTCATTTTGTGTAAACATTGCAATTTTGTTCATGTCAACATAAATCACCACGTAGTTGGCCATTTATATAAAAACAAGTGGATATTGTCGTTTGTCCAGTACATATTCTCAATACGTGCACTGTGACTGCGATGCGACAAAATTGAAGGCTAATGTGTTGGTAGTCGATGCTTGTCATATCATATACTTAACCAGTCGGAGTACTTGACTTTTCTTTTTGCTCTTCATCTCTCTCTCTCTCTCTCTCTCTCTCTCTTCTGCGCTTGCAACTCAATCTTTCTATCGTTCCCGACAAATTGAATTTGGATAATATTTTTTTATGTGTCGCTTTGGTGCCGAGTCAGGAATAAAAGTTTGCTGCAAATGAATTTGTTTGCGCTGGTGTGATGAATGAATGTGTGGAACAATTCGAAAATCGAATTAAGGTCATTGAGTGGAAATTTTCGGTTTTCCGTAATAACATTACAACTAACCAATTCAAATGGTGCGATGCAACTTTCTAATTCAATTATTATTTACTCTGGTGCATTTTCTAGGTCTGGTTCCAGAACAGGTTAGGTTTCGTATGATTCCGGGTGCTGCCTGGACTCACGGATTTCTTATTTTCCTACATTTATTCTATATTTCATTCGAATCGAAGTTACTCAATGGTTAATTATGGTTTCTTTACAGAAGGGCTAAGTGCCGCAAACATGAAAACCAAATGCATAAAGGTACTTTAACATCAATTTTTTAATCCTATTTCATTTTGAAAAAGATAGTTTTGATCAATTTATCGAAACGAATGTTAAAGATAGCAAACATTCGTCGACATTTTTTGTTTGCAATCGAATACAATTTGCATGGAAATCACATTTCAATAATTCTGACTAGATTTAATATCGATTGAAATCAAACAAATCATTTCCGAAAATATGCTTTCTTCCATTCCCATTCTGAAGTTGTACGAAATCGGGGTTTCAACAGTGAAAAGTCGATTGCGACGCGTTAAATCAGATATGAAAAAATCGACATTGAATACATATCTCCAATTGATTCTCATAGCATCGTCTTCTTGCGTTTGAAAATCATAACTTATTCTTATTGTGCTTAGGGGTTAGTTTGGCAAACGGATATATTCCCATGCATGCAATACAACGAGCAAAATGCATGCTGTACACATTTTATTTTGTTTTTTATTTATTTATTTATTAGACATTTTATCCAGTTATTTCTACTCCTTTTTTACTGGTAATGTTCGCCTTTGCTTTTCTCTCTCTCTCTCTCTCTCTCTCTCTCTCTCTTTCACTCTCTTGAGTGTACGTGAGGTCGGTAATTCGCTTTTCTTTACTCTATTTGTTTCCCGTCGCCAACGTGCGCGATGTGCAAATTGAAAAATTGGTTTGCGTATAATTTTTGTTTACCAAGGAGTACAATTTTTTATTGCTATCTACTTCTCTTTCTATCCTTCGTTGTTGATTCTCAGTTGAAATGAACTGTTTCACGGTGAATGGCACATGTATCCGGCAAGAAAGAGAAAAACACATCGACTGTGAGATGAGTTCCTTGGTACAGCGAGAGAGAGAGAGAGGAAGGGACTTGATTCGCTAGACGATGTGTATGAAATAAAAATATAGCGCACGAATGTTGCTGGTTTTTTTAGGCAACAAACAAATCACATAAGTCAGTCGTTGGGAATTTAGATAAATAAAATAACTGTAGAGAGGTTAATCAAATAAATGGATTTTCAGAGGGTGTGAGTCTGTCCGTGTTACACTTCCAAAGCAGGAAGACTAAATACAATCTTCGAAATGTATACCGTTTACTGTAGTTTGATTTTCCCCACGTTTTTTTTCTGGTACGACACAAAAAACAATGCTCTCTCTCTCAGACTTGTTTGTGTATTCAAATATGTACTGCTGCCAATTATCGGATCAAATAGAAACATAAATTCCTGATTTAATCATTATTAATTAGATAATTTAATTTCCGAGAAAGTTTTCCGTTGTTGTCGTGTTTGTTTGCAAAACGACAGCATAAAATTTATTCAATTTGTCCAAATCATTTGAATTACCGTTGATGTTGATGCTCACTGTTTTTTTTTTGTATTGCATTGCATTGTGTGCTACATTGTGAAGTTTGATTGTAGGCACACGAGCAAATATTCAATTTGTGTATATTTCATCGAATTTATCTATGTATGTACCTGATGCAAATGTAATTCAATTTGCAAAATAAAAATGTAAATAATCAAATCGATAATTTTTGCCCATTAATTCGATGTTTATTCGATTCAATGTGTGCACATCCAAACGACAGGCGTTTTTTTTGTCATGCAGTAAATTCTGTCTGCCAATTTGTAAATGCAAACAATTACCATCAACCATATTGAAGCGTATTTTACGCGATATGCGAAAACGAACGCCCATTCGCGATGCCATCAAATTGTTAGCTCACGTGGCTTAAACCAACCAAATTGGCAAACAGATTTCGAAATTGTTACATTTTCCGCGATTGATTTATCGAGAGACACAACTCTTTTTCCATCACTGAATCTTGCCACATTCGAATCGGTATCACTATTTACATCCAGAATCTGCTGTTTGGTGTAGCAGATTTTCGATGTCTTCGTCGAAAATTGGATCAACGTTAAATTGAAAGAAGAAACCTTGTGTGATGTGTTAAATTGCTGCAACCGATTCGTTAAATCATTACAAATTACCGGAACCAGAGATACAAGAGATAGCATATAATGCCATGCAACCCGATTCACGTTCATCGTTGCGGCCCGGACCACTCAGCATATAACTCAATCGTGTTATTTCGTGTGTAACTAACAACAATAAAGCATTACACTGTTTATTACATTGATTGCAACGCAGTCTGCTTGAAGCAAGCGGGCGGTGTATGTGTGTGTGCATACGAAACACTGGTGGTGGGTCGATAGACAACGAAAGACTGTAAGTAAACAATTTAAGGGCTGAAAATGCCGTAGCAATTTTTCGTGTTTATCGTTTTCAATTCGATAAACGTGCAATCCATTAGATCCGGTTAAGTACCTGAAACATTCGAATTCGATTGAGAGCCCAATTTAACACACCGATAAAATGCACAATATAAAATGGTAGATCCTTCACTTTGCTTATTCATTGAATGCGTTAAATAAACGCTGCGCTTCAAATGGTAATTCCAAGTTTTAAAATACCATGAAAACAGCATTGGCGATGGTAAAAATGGAGGCGGAGGTGTCTTAATAAATGAACTGCTAATACATATTCATTCAATTTGGCTTGTAACCCATTTTAAAGGTTTATGGTATCCTTTTTCACGTTTTCAATGATTTCGAACAATAATACGGCAACGCCTTGCCTCAGCTTCTTTCACATTTTTTCATCATCTTTTTCTCGTTTTCAGTATGTATGCCCATAAGGCTCGAATGGTATAAATTCACCAAGTCGAGGCGGATTTTCACATGGATTAAACTGTCGTTGATAAATTAGTTATTAATTTACTTCTGATGTTAATGATTGCCATCTTATTTTCATTTCGGAAAACTTTACATAGGTACTTTCTCTCCCGACTGAGCTTAAACTGCTTTAGGCAATGACTTCATCTACACTTTCATTTTATTAATGAATTGCTAATTAATTAAATGACGAGAAAAATTCCCTGATTTAATAGCCAAAAAAAAAAGACATTGAAAAAGAGTTAAATGAAAAGTTTTACTCCTTCTTGAAATGGCAATTGTTTTGTTGCAATTTACACGTTTTTATCGAATGCTTCTACTTTATTTAAGTCACTTTCTATCCTTCTTTTTATTCTCTGCACATTTCCATGCTTTCTACTGATGAAACATTGCATGCTTTCATTTTTCAAAATTATAAATGCACAGTCAGAATTTGTAAACGCGCATAAATCTCGTTTGGCGATGAGAAATGTTGCCACGTTGCCATTTCGACTTCGTGTCCCGTTGCCTAACAGATGTGTAATTTGTTGAACAAACAGCAGCTTCGATTGCGTCTACATCGTACTTATGCAATTACGACATACATACAAAACATTGGTGACTTATGCATTTTAGCAGCTCGATACTTCGTACTGCCTTGCTTTCGACGCGAATTAATATTGTTGTTTCTGGTGGGTGGTGGCGGGGAAAACAAAACATAGTTGTGCTTCGAAAATGTTTTTTTTTTTTTGTCGGAGAAACTTAATAAAATTGCATGTATCGTTTTGTATCCTTTCATATTTACGTATGTCATTTCGCCAATTCGATCAAAAAAAGAACGACAACGACCAACAACGACAGACAGCGCAAATTATGTGCACAAGTATAATTGAATTATATGGATTACACACTGATTCAAATTGAATAAGTTTAAATTTATGCAACGGAAGGGAGTCGACTCTATCGTCTCTCTATTATTGAATACTATTCATCATCCTGCACAACACACACGCACACATGTACTCTCTCTCTCACACTAGTGTTCGGTTTGAACTGTCTATCGCTTGGGATATTGTGAATAAACTGCCAGATTTACGAACCGCACAATTTGTATATTAATTTTTGTGATTGCTGTTGTTTTGCTCACAGTAAATTGATTGATATTTAAATATGTTCGACCATTCAGAGCATTTAGAATACAAATCATCGCATTTTCAGCTATGGTTACGCATTAATTGAATTTCACAGCCAAATGAAAAAGATGAACGTGTTTTGAAACGAAGCGTTTGCAAGGAATGGCATTATAATTAAATCCATCGCTGCTACACTTTCTCTCTCTCTTTCACATCTTTTCACTTTTTTCTTCAAAAAGTCATGTATTCGGGGCAAGATTTTAATCCTTCTGATGAATTGTGTTAAATATAAATGTTATACTTATTACTGGCTTTGTTCTAAAATTAGAAAGTGTTGCAAATTGCAAAATATAAAGCGAAAGAGAAATGTTTTTTATATAAATAGAGAAATCCCCAATTAATGTTTTCTTGCTTCTTTTTTCACCGCGTAAATTATCTGCACAATTCACAGAGAAAGTGGTAGAGAGAGATAAAGTCCCGCTTGAATATTCGCTTAAGTAAATTTAATTTGTTTCATCAAGATGAAGAAATTGTAATGCAGAAAATTCTCATGGAAATAAATCACGACACGAAAGAAAATAGCGCACAAATTCATTTGGCTTGCACAAAAAGGAAAAAAAAAGATAGCGCATTTGTCAGAGTATGAAGCGGCCGTTTTATGCAATAAATATACAAGTAAAAATAATTTTATTATTTTTTTCAGTCGTACAAAATTGATGTAACATAGGCATGAAGCCATATTTCTCCAGTTCCGTGTGCACTTTTTTTTATTGCAATACATTGTTTTAAATTATATAATTCCCCATGGGACCCATTATGTCATGTTGTTCACCTAAACAAGTAGATTCGCAAGACCATCGCCCCTCCCACACTCACCGACAGAGACTTACTTTTTTGCAACATGGTTTTTTGATTTACTCATATCTTTTTATCAATATTGAACAAAGTTTCCCTTCAGATTAAACCAGTGAATAAATATAACGAACACCTTTTTTTTATCCTTTAGGGATAACTCAAAACAGTTTTATTCAATTATACGATTTAATATTTCAATGAGCTGATGGGTTGTTTTTATTTATTTGCAGGAATTTTAATATCGAGTAATAGTCCGCCAGTATCAACGCCGTTGGAACCGTGCCGTGTTGCACCTTATGTTAATTTACCGTCGATACGTACTTCTAGCATTAATTCGGCCACCACAACAGCACAACATTCGTATTCTGCTGTGGCGGCGGCTGCTGCTTTTTCAGCATTCGACCCAGCTTTACTAACTGTGGCACATCAAGTAAGAATATTTTAAACATAAAATAAAATCGAATTTTTCAATGAATCGAATGAAAACAATACTATCCACATCAAAAATCAAGATTTTGTCAGAGATGATTTCAAATGATGAAATCATCTCAATTTTCATTTAGACATAAATACGACCAAAATGTGAATTCATGTCTCAACTTATAAATAAATTGATGTTTTTCTTTTCATTTTCAGTATGCGGCTGCAATGAATGGAAGCAGCGGTTTGTTTTCAATTCCACAGTATCCCTTGAATTTGGCCGCATTGGCAGCTGCACACAATAAAAATTCCAGCATTGCTGATCTCCGACTCAAAGCTAAAAAACATGCCGAAGCGTTGGGACTTAAAGAATCCGCTTCATAAAAAAGAAACATCCAATCAATCAACAACACATTTGCGACCGAATTAAAGAGAAACATAACTTTAGAGTTTATTTCACGTTTTCTTTTTTGTCATCAGCGATAAGTTTTTGCTTTTCACGATTTGATCTCGACTAATTTTTTTTCGTCTATACTTTGTGCATAATAAAAACTTTTAAAATCGAATCATGTATTTTCAATTTTGTACACTTTTTCCGAAGCATATTATAGAATATTTTTTTGCCAAAGTATAAACACTTCTTGAGGAAAGGTAAGTGATACTGTCGAATCATTTGTGCAGGTGTAATGAAATTTGGGTCAAGGGCTGAAAATAGCAAAATTACAACGAAAATCAATAAAAGAAATCATATTCTCAACAGAATTTTTCCCACGATCATCTTCAATTAATCAACTGGCACATATCTGACCAAACTTTACTAACCACATATGAAATAAGAATTTATTGGTATTGAAACTGTGAAACAGTTGCGTTTAACTTTACCAACTTCTAGAAGAATCAAATAAATCGACTCCGATTTTAACGCTCATGGTGTAATAACTGTCATATTTCATTTATCTTTTTATTGAAGATTATATCCAAATTGCTATTGACATGAGCATCAAATGTATCGAAGGGGTGGGAATGACTTACAATGTGAAATATTATTCGATTGAACTGTATAATCGTGAGGTAAATTTGAAACCATCTTCATTTCTTCTTAATGAATTTTGCGTTTTCAAATTAAGCGAATTATGAATTGAAAATAATCGAAGAACAAAACATACACAAATTGAGGTGTAAACAAACACTGAATGGACATTCAATGGAGACGGTCCAAAGTGTAAAAAGCATCTCGTTCGACTTCAGCGCCATCTATTGAACGCTTAATACATTCAATTGGTTAAACTTTTTCAGACATGCATCCAAATGTCATTGTTTGGGAAAATAAAAGAAATGTGGGATATTTTTTGTTTGTCGTGTATGCTCACGTTGTCAATTGTCATTGTTTGTCATAAGGTAAAAAGTCCGAGCAACGCGACACAATAAACATCACCGCAACTTAAAAATACATTATATCATTGAACATTTATTTGGATTTTTTGTTTTAAAATAAAATCCATGAGAATAACCAAAAATGGATCTGTACGATGACTTGGATGCAAAGCAGCGAATCGATGGATGGTCACCCAGTTTGAAGTTGATGCAGACACAAATGGCATTAAAGAAAGCGATTCCACCACCGCCAGTAAAGAAAGAGCTCACAAAACGAACGGCTCCAGTAAGTTTGTTAAAACTCGAATTATATTGTGATAGCATTTAATTCAATGTTCCGTTTGCAAAACATATACATACACACAGCTTTTAGCGCCGACAACAATTTTAAAAACAAAAGGTCGACCAAACGACTCCGACGATCATTTCAAATCGAATGATAGCTTAAAGAGTTCGCATAAAAAGCAACCCACAATTACAACACAAGCATTGGCACCGCCAAATAAGGCGGCTAATGACTATGATTGGGATGTAATTGACGAATATAATCCATTGTGGCCGAATGAATACGAGAAAATCATAAAAGATCGCCGCGAAAGACGAGATAATGATAGAAAACGGCGAAATAATCGTAATGAACAAAATCGTAATGATTCGCCGCCGCAAAAATTTTCTGGTTTTGCTGGTCGATCGGATGATTTAGACGATTATAAAAAATCACCACCAAATCCATCACAGCGTAGCATCGGTGCTGCCATAGCACCACCCCCGTCATTACAAGAAAGTACACCGATTATACCAGCACTACAAAATACAAACGTTTCAAATTCGTATGGTGGTGGTTCGGTCGCAGCAAAAATTATGGCCAAATATGGATTTAAAGATGGTCAAGGTTTAGGTAAACAAGAGCAAGGAATGTCAATTGCATTACAAGTGGAGAAAACATCGAAAAGAGGCGGTCGAATTATACATGAGAAAGAACTTATGCAACCGCCAACAACATCAAGTCCACCGGCTTTATCGATGCCGCCGCCAATAGCACCAGCGCCAAAAGAAGAACCATCGATTACTGAGATTATGAAAGCACCCAGCAAAGTTGTTCTGTTACGAGTAAGTTTTCATCTTTGATTTAAGTAAATATTTTGCATTCATTTTAATGCCCGTTTCTTCCAATAGAATATGGTCGGCGCCGGCGATGTCGATGATGAACTTGAAGGCGAAGTAAAAGACGAATGTAACACAAAATATGGAGATGTGGTCAAAGTTATAATCGTTGAATTGAAAAACACGACGCCCGAAGAAGCTGTTCGAATATTTGTTGAGTTCAAACGAATCGAAAGTGCTATTAAGGCAGTCGTTGATTTGAATGGCCGATTCTTTGGCGGTCGTCAAGTAAAAGCTGGGTTTTACGCACTTGAAAAGTTTCAAAAACATCATTTGACTGATTAATCACATCCTATATGAAAAAAATGTTTATTCCTATGTTGTATGTAACACATGTATTCATTGAATGCATTTTATTCTCTCTTTATGAAAACATTTTTCTATTACCTATACATTAATTATTCGAAAAGTAGATGACAAAAAATAAATAAATAAATGAATCAATAAAATTAACGAGTTTGTGTTTATAATTGATTTAGAAAAGTCTGTCTATTTGTGGACTGTTAAACAGTGTGTTTCACCGCAAAAAAAACCATTTGCATACTCACAATACATTGTATGTGCGATTGCAGCATTTCATATGCCAAAAAAGTAGCTGTTGATGTTGTTAAAACTTTTCAAACTAATTAACACAATGGGTGATTGAAATAAAAAAAAACTCCGTATTATTTAAACTATCAATTTTGCTGGAAAAACCATATTTTGTTGAAACTTTGACTTTTTCCCATGAAATCAATAACTTTCATTACATTACTTTAATTAGATTACATGATGCGTTGCCATGGGAAAATGTAAAACGGCCGCATTTTTTTATGAACGTGTCTACCAAGTGGATGCCAATAACAATATTACATGAGAAAAATATAAATGAACTACATGCGACAAAAATGAATAAAACGTGATCTCATTTCGTGGGCATTGTTCACAAATTTATAGATTTTCAACGGAGATAATTCAATCAACAATTGTAAAATGCTAACGCATCCCAATATAAACAAATTCACCGTTGTTGATTAAAAAAAAAGTATGGTGTTGCTATAGAGAAAAAACCCCTTCTTATTTTAACGGCACATAGAATTCTACCGTGCTATTGACATGTTTCATACGTTAATACTTACAATGTGCTTCAATCAGACAGGTTTGTACATTGTTTTCCATCTTATAAAAATTTAATATAAATTTTACAAACTAAACAAAACCATGCTCATTTTTTTCTGTTACCAAATCCAGACATGTTTCTCTCCGAAATATCTCTATTGAATTTGTGTTATATGACATTTTAGTTTCTTGTCAATTGTCGTTCGAAGAGAAATCAAAGGAATAAAATTATTATTTGCACGACCCCCTAATGATTGCAATGCATATCTACCATGCAAGTGGCACATGTTTTGACATTATTAGATTTATCAACCTTTTATTAGCGTCGTAATACGGTCGCTCAGTGTGGCTTTTGTCACTACCAATATTCCACCGCATTGTTCTTCGTTCAACGAAATCACAAAATTTCATTACCCCTACGATGGAATTAACTTCATTTGTTTTTATTGAAAAGACGATGAAAGGACTATTTTTGATAATCAAAATTAAATTCACCCGCAAATTTCTCCATTTTAGAGATTTTATGCTAAAAAAAATACATAAATGGGATATAAATTAAAACAACTACATTATTAATGCTAAACCCGGAAGAAATGTATTTCAATTTATGCGTCCATTGTTTACGTGAAATATTTTACAGCATTTTTTTTAAAAATTCTAATGTATAATTCTAATATTTGACAGAACAGAAATGATCATTTTTTTCTTTTTTTTTCAATCAAAAATTTCCCTTAGGTTACCAACTGTGCAAAATATGAGATAAATTGTTTGTCCAATTTTCAGAAAAAATATACGAATTTTGACTTTTTCCACAATTATATTGATTATTTTTGAGATGTAAAAAACACAATTCGCATTTCGGTTCTGAATGTATTTCGTTGGAACTTCTATATATAAATATTTGTTTAGAGAAAAGTACATTTCTATAATAAATTATTATTGTTAGATTTCTGAAATGTTATTTGTTTAGTTTAATCAGAATCGACATCGATAGAACACTTCATAGCCAACTCTGTTATTCCCAAATGTTTTTCTTTCTTCGTGCTATTCATTGCTGACATTATGAGATGTATCCTTTTGATTCACCGACTATATCTACATCGCTTTCGTCTTCGGTGCCGCTGTCGCTTGATTTCATTAGATCGTCGGATGAGATGCTGCGTAACATTTGGATGGATGATTGTGCTTTTAACGATTTCACTCCTGCCATTGATGAGTAGAGTGAAAATGCACGTTCCGATTCATCGGTTGGACCACGTTTGCTATTGTCTGCAACGTTTGATGCATTTTTGTTTGCCTCATTGCGGGAAAAATCAACTGGCTCCGCTTTGAAATATATAGACACATTTTGACGAACAACAATTTTCAATTAGTTAAATTTGACTCTTTGCATCTTTGTTAATAGTTTGGAAAGTTCCTTAAAGAAAACTTATGCATTAAAACCAAGTTTTGCTAATTAAATCAAATAACAAATTGTGCATCTTGAAAGAGTTAAGGACGAGGGAAAAAATCACATCTTTAGTTTTTGGTGTACAAATGGAAATGGCTTTCGATGCAAATTATTTGACAAAAGTTCAGAAGACCTTTCAATTACGTCAATATAATAAAAATGAAATTCAAAAAATAAAAAGTAATCTGGATCATTTATGATGAGTAACTTACCCGAATTGATGTCACGCCTTCGCAATTGTTTTTTATGCTTCATGCGTCGATTTTGAAACCAAGTTTTCACTTGAGTTTCGCTTAATCCAAGAGCTGCTGCCAATTCAACACGTTCTGGCGTGGATAAATATCTTTTTAAAGCAAGAATGAGGATCAAGTATTAAACAATTGCATTGAATTTTTTATCGATATACCAAAAATTACTTTCAAATGGTTTAAAAATGAAACTAAATCTACTAAAATGCTCTTCAAGATAAGTTTACCTTTGATTTTCGAAGCGTTTTTCCAATCCGGTCAGTTGAGGATCGCTAAAAACGGTTCGAGCCTTCCTCCGACGGCAGTGACTACAATTTATAAAGAACGAAGTTTCTGCTCATGAAATTTTTGCTTTCGATAATAATTCTTTCAAAACTAAATCGCCACCATACCGACACCACTTAGGCACTTACCGTAAAGCATTCACATTCATTCCTAGTCCAAGTGCAATATCCGCTGAACAACCACTGCCTGGAAAAAAGTTGGCTCCGCCAAATAAACCTGCTATGGATAGATAAAAGAATAAAATAGTTTTCAATTCGAAGTTTAAAATTAAACGAATATCCAAATCTTATTGATCTAAGTATTCTGATTCATTATTTAAATTTTAAACGTTCAAATCTGCTTTAAAAATAACAATATCAGTCTTAGCCAAATAGACATGCCATTCATTTATTATAATATCCAACAGGGAAATCAAAACGACCACATGCATTATCATCTAGATACGTTTATTCCAGAAAAGTTAAAAGTTGCAAAGCTTCACAAAAAATGTATATAAATAATATGAACCTTGTGATAAAAAGTATGGATCGACACTTTTGTAAACTGAAGATGAAGGTGTTAGATATGCGCCCAAAGCCATTTGTAAGTAACTTGGATCCGAATATGGTGCGGTGTAGATAACATTCGGATTTGTCGAGGCTGGAAACTGTTGTGAACTTGTTTGGAGTGGAATCCGTTCTTTGTATCTGCTTGATTAAAAAAAAAAACCGAAAGTAATTCAAAGCTATTATTATTTAACGTTATTCACACGTTTTTCCGTCAAGTTTGACTTTAATTCCTTTTCATCACTGAAAATGGTGTAACATCGACGGTTACTTTGTTCGATTATAATTCTTTCATAAAACAAATTGTATCATACCGATCACTTTGTAATAATTTGCGATACTCTTCGTCATTCGACTGGATATCGCCGTTACTTCTTAGATTTTTCTCAATATTATTCACTGGATGTTCGGCGCTGTTACTATGCCGGGCACTTTGATTGCCAACATTATCGGCATGATTTTTAAAATGGATTTTATTGACAGCTTTCATTGAATTGCGATCCAAAATATCTTCGATTAAAAATGGTGTTTTAATGGCACCCGACGCACTACCATTTGATTTATTTTCGGTAAAATGTAAAGCCATTTTTGATTTACATAAAAACACAATGAATAGAATTCATTAAATTTTTTCGGGCACAAATATGTTACAAAACTTTGTAAATTTGCAATTGAATCACAATTAAACACTTAAAATATTGTAAAATATAAACTTTGCAATTGTTTTAGTGTAATGTATAGACACAAGCACACACTGTTTTAACGGATAATGAAAAACTTTTTCAAACAATAAGTTTACGTTAATTTTTTGGTAGAAGTAGTAGCGGCTACTTTATGGAAAATCGACCATTCTTAATGACTTTACATCGATTTATGGCAATGTAATTCAAACATCATCGGTTTAGAAACCATAAATGATGTGATTTACAACAACTTGCATTTAATGTTTTCCACCAACGAACACAAGCATCTCGTGCAACGAACGAATGGAAAAAGGGGTGTACGGAAGTGTTGCTACTCACTCGCTCTGCTCTGTTTTATTGAAGTGGAAAAAGTGTGCAATGTATAAATAAAACACACCCTCTCATGAATATCTGTGAATTGGGTAAAAGTCGGTGGGATGTCGTCCGAGTATACAACAATTTGTAAAAAGAAAGGCAAGTGGAAGCGATTTCGCATTATGTATTTTAGAAATACATTGGTAAATTGGCGTTGAATGCATGTTGTCGGTTCGTTTATCCATGCAATACAAAATTGTCACGTAATATGATTTCGAAGTTTTCCACTTCAGTTCTGAGTTTGGGGTAAGCTTATTATCTGTAAATATTAGACTTAATTCATGCTTATGGAATCTGTGTTATTATGGAGTATAAATATGTTTTTCGTTGATTTTCCACATCATGCCATGTCTTCTTCATTGCCAATATACGGCAAATTGACGCTATTATATCCATCATGATTCGTTCGTTACTGTTTTTTTGTTTTCCTTTGTGAGGAATGTGCGAGTAAGCTCCCGGGTTATTTTGACTAAGACGACCCGCCGATGTCTCCAATGAATATCATTTTTAATTAGTTAAAATCTTCTACGAGCGAAAAATACAGAGAAAAGCTTTTATTTCATAGAATGAAATAGCCGATATTATGAACAAATTGGATCACCTTTTCATTAAAAAAGAGAAAACAGAGTGAATTGCTCGTCAAATAAACCACAAAACAGCCTATATCGGCTGCCATCGAATGATAAAAAAGTGGCCTAATTGGTTTAGTTCGCTTCTTGATGTCGCTTGTTTTTTTTTTGCAAATCACGATCACACAGTGCGCAAAGCATCTGCATTCAAATCATAATTAAAACCAAAATGAATGTTAATTAATGCTTCGTTCATTGTTGTCGTTGACATAATTAGCAGATAATAGCATTGTTAATTGCAATATTAAAATTAAATTAATGCCATTCGATACATATCGTTTCAATATTGATCATCAAATATTAACCGCTGACACAGTGTGCTCTCTCGTTCACCGTTTTTGTTTCAGAGTTGCGTTGCGCTTACAGTCATCGAGTTTCACATTTGTCAAAGCATTTTCATTGCTGATAAGAGCGGGAAAGAGCGAAAAAGTGAGTGAATGATGGTAAGTACATAACAGCGTGTGGTTTGATGATTGCTTCAATTTTGCTTTCATATGTCTTTTTCGTTCATTCCATCGTTATTTTGTGCTTATCAACATTTAAACGACATCGAAAGCAACACAAAACACACACAATTACCCCTCATTAGAGTGCTTTTGAACTGTGTGCACGATGAGTGCGAAGTGACGAGGGTACTGTGCAGTACATAGGGCTGCGAATATCTGACTGCTGATTGGTTGCAGCACTGTTGTACAAGGCGTACTCAAACGTTTATTTACTCGCACTGAGAGGTTGGCTTTTTTCGCCAAACATCATTCCATCGCCAGCACACAGATTATTCGATTCATATTTCGATATCAGCAATGGCTTTAACAACGACGAAAACATCATCGTTTAGTCTCATTTTATTTAAACTTTGTCGTTGGCTTTACATTGCAAATAAATTTGCGCATTGGAGCATTTTTGCCATTCAACGTGGACGATATCAGTAGCATTCTAGAATTTTCACTATCCGTTCATTAGAGCATTTTATATGTCCTTTGCAAACTATTTTCATTTTTTTTTCGTTACTTTTCATCATTCAACCTCACTAATGAACCGAACATTATAAGAGCACGTATTATACTTGAAATTCCGTGACACGCGATTTTCAATCATTTTCCCTTTTTCATTGGCTTCTTCTTTCTCTCTCCTTAACTCTTTCGCAGCCTTCGTTGTTGCCGAGAAAAAGGTCCATTCACATTATTCTGCACGTTTCAAAAGACTCTTGCTTCTCGCTTATATAATGTCATTTAAACGATTTGTTCCATTGGCTCATTAGAATCGAAACAGAACGTAACGCTCTTTTCTTCATCTCACACTCCATTTTTTTACTCGGCGACTCTCACGCCGCAATCTCATCAGATTTCCCTTCATTGCATCGTCGTAAAATGCAAAAGAGATGAGAACGACAAGTGATTGTTATCGAAGTGGCTCTCAACTTTTAACATGACCTAAATTGTTAAGGTTTATCGCATTTAAAAAGAATCTTGCCGCTGCTTATTTTTCATCGTTTCGATTTTTTTTTCCTTTGTTCGGCAATTTGCAACTGCCAACCGGTTCATGGTTGTTTGTCAAATGATTTCAATGTCTCTTTTGTTTAAGCCTTCAACATTTGTTATTGTTGTATTATTCTCGTCTTCTCTTTTTGTTCGCTAAGTGTTTCCTAATTCGCACTTGCAGCGAAAACCTTCGTCATGCACAAAGTGATGCTTTTTGTGTCATCTATTATGCATTTTCACTTCACAAAACTGACATGATTCAAAATCCAAAAAATGAAATCTCTCTACTTAATGGGATGTGAACTTCCTTTTGACGCGTGCATAACTATTTCGTAACATGACATATACGACCAAAGCCATAGAGAGTAGGAAAAAAATCATCATGCGAGCCAAGGATCAAATACCATTAAATAATTACCACAAGCAATTATTTTCATTAAAATTTGAATGCAACAACAACAACAAATTCAACACTGCACACACTCAATCGGTGTCCGATTTCAAATTTATGAGAATGAAAAAAGCAGAAAATATGGATTTTGAAAGGTAATCGGGTGCACGTGTCGGTTTAACTAGTTCTGTTCGAAATTTGAGACGTTTTTGATTTGTGCTCTCCGGCTTAAGTGCATCATGACCAGGATGTGTGCAAATCAATCACAATACATCGAACGTGAATCAAATGCAAAAAAAAAGTTTAAAAAGAATGTCGACCTAAAAGCGGAAAATGAAAATGTCAAAGAAGGAAATCACCTATTCCCCATCAATCGAGATAACTAATTTCATTTTAATGTCACTTTAGCTGATTTCACTATATATAAAGATGTAAGCGGTATTTTACTCGAACAGATTGCCGGGGTCTATCATCAATTACGGGGTATCACTCTCATTCTCATTCGCTTGTAATTTCAATGCTTCCACACACCTTTTGAATTGGCAGTTGCGGACATATGAATTTCATATTGATAAACATCAAAGATAGCAAATGCAAATAATAAATGTGATCACTTAGATTTTTCTTCGTTCTAAACGTTTGAAAAATAAGGGGGAACATTGAAATCATACTAAAAATTATGCTCATAATTTAATTGAAATGGTTACTTTAATCTTTGAAAATAACCTTTTTCATCGTAGCCTACCTACTTATGGTAGTATTACATTTTCACGTGAAAGGGAACCATGTATGCTATTCAAGGAATGCTTTTCATTCATATACATTGATGATATTGTTGCAGATATATTCATATCGATAAGATTTAAACAACGGAATTTAATTTCTCATAATCAATGGTTTTATGAAACAATTTTTCAGAAAGCTATTTTGTATCATAAAAACTATTCGAACGATAATAACAAGTGTGGATTTTTTTCCGCACATGCTAAATTGACACATCGTTGATTGCAATGGAAATTCATCAATTCGAGGCGGAGATGCCGTTGACATTAAAATCGTATTAATAAATGGTTGGCGTTAAAAGTCATGTACGATGAAAAAAAAAATGTACGCGTCGCGCATCATGCCCTTTACATTTTGTGTACAAAACAAATTTCACCCCTCATTAAGTCTATTGATTCAGTTTTGGTAAATACAGTGTACGTGAGAGTGAGAGACTCATAGCGTACAAGCCACTGCTGTTGATGATGATGCGAAGAAAGGAGAGAGAAAATATTGCACTCGTGCTCAAACAGTAGCCAATAACAATAGCCAAAGATCGAATGAGACGCTCGCTTGTTGTGAATACACTTCAACATCAATTTTATGTGAAAATAAGAGTGGAGAGAGAGAAAAAAAGAAAAAAAAAACGGGAAGTTTTAACAACAGCATAAAACCAATTATGTTACAGGCGCAGTGATTTTTATCTATTTAATATAATAATTTAATTTGTGATGCTGCTTTGATAGGAAATCAGTCGATTTTATATCCCATTTGATTGCTGTAATTGAAACATGTGTACCGCTTTTGTGTATGCGTATGTCTTTTTCTCATACAGATTCAATGCGTTTTTGGATGAACAACCCGATATTTCAAATCAAATACCAAATTTTAAGTCAGTTCCGCATAGAACGGAACGTACATCACTTCTAAATTAGTGACATGAATGCAGAACTAATATATTGTCGACGATTGTAATTTAATTCTATTTTTTTTCGACACAAGAACAAAAATATGTAAACTACTAATTGCTGCATGCCAAAGATTTTTCTTCTTCTCTAATGACGATAAATCAGCGCTTAATGTCAATTATTTTGCGTGTAATCCGTTTAGGGTCGGGTGACTTGCCATTCTGGCAATAGGACAGTATGCAATACTCGCCAGCTCATTGAATGGCTGACTTTTTGAAAGATACGTTCTGAAGAAATTTCACAATTTTTTTCTACGTTAAAAGTACGTTCTTAAGATTGTTCATGAATTTTAGAGCAATTTTAGAACTGATGAGCAGTTTTGCATTCATAACTTGCAATAAACGTAAATCTATTCAACTAACGCAAAATATCCCACGCATATAAAATGCACACGTTACATATGTAATAGGAGCCCGCATTCGTTCTTCACTGTGAATTGGAAAGACAGGCACTTAATCACCACTTTTAATCGTCTGTTTTACTTGCTACTAATTGCGTCCACGTGACTTATCTGACACATCTTTTCATCGCATATTTTTATTTACAGCAAATGCGAAATCCTGTATGCACAACAACAAAATAATCGGATCGAAAAATTACATCATAAACGATGGAACAATGATTCACTTTGGGATAAAAGACGCAAAATGTTGCTGGTGCAACAATTCGATGAAAAAAAAAACTTATTGTTACATGACACACCAAATGCATAATCATAAGGGCTGATGAGCATCGAACAACAGGAGAAATTATCACAAAATTATACTTGAAATTATGCGCGATTGACACAAATCAATTCATGATTCAGATGAACTTGCTTTTGAGATTGGTGTTGCAAGGTTTATACATGTGAACAATGGCCAAATATTTTTGAATCCCTTTCACATTGTTTTATTGAGAAAAAAATGACGTACACCAATCGATAGTGGAAATATCGGTATAAATACCGATTGATGAATATTTCGGGTGTTTTGTCCTATATAAAAGGGTACATACTTCAATTCAATGTCAATGCCATTAATTTTATTCTATATTCCCAATAGTCTTTTGTGTTCATATAAATTTTTATTATGTATACGGCGAGTTACAGCACTTTCAATAGATTTCATATCAAATATCGCTCCAAAAAGAATTTCAATCCATTTTCGGAAAAAGTGCATACGTATAATATATAGTTAAACAAAAACATGAATTTAAATTCCAACACTGTTGGTGCATTTCACATTCAATAGTACTATTTGATTTTGAACAGGTGAAAGTAAATTTGTTTTTTTAAAGGGTTCAATGTCAAAAAAATTCGATATTTTTTAATGCTAACATAGAGGTCAAAGATTTTTACAATCTTCTTCTGATACAAATTGACTTGAAATTGACTGTTAAAAAGACTAAAACCAATAGAACACTCGTTTTTGATGAACGATAACAACATATTTCTCACTAATATAGTTTTTCTAACAAACAAATTACATTTTTTATTCTTTTCTCTCTTCTTTTATTCATTTTTTAGTATTAAAAATTTAATGATACATTTTTGGAATCTTTATTTTAGTTCTGCAGCCAGATTCAGATTACGATATTGTTGTAGATGTTGAATTGATGAAGAATCAATACAGTTAATTGGGGGTTCATTTATCAAGTGTAAATTAGCCAACCTTGGCTTGTTCCAGACAAAATGATCAAGAAACTGAAAATTCCACTTAATTGTGAAAATGAGAACAGTTAAAGATCAGAGAAAACAGAAACAATAAAATTCCCATTTTCCATGCATGAGATGCTTCCATTTAATGCAAAAGCGAGAAATTCAAATAAAATCATGTAAAGCTTAAGAGAATTGGTTGATAGTCATGCATTTTTTAGCTTGCAAAATTTTACATTGTATAAATTAATTTAATTTCAATTTGTAAACGAAAAAAGCCACTAAAATATTGGCATCAATTGTTTTTCTGACATTTTCAATAGAATTTTTTCAATTGATTTGAATCCGCCAATAAATAGTAAATATAAGGTTGTATGTACATATACTATATACATTGTACAATTTTCTCGTGCACGAACTGCATAATATTATGAATGAAACATATTTTCTGTTAATATGGCTGTTTGTATGCGATAACAAAAAACTTTTCCCCTAGCTTTTCCCTTTCACCAGGATGCGAGATTGTGGCGCAAATCAATAAAATCATATGTGTTTTCAGTCCAAAATTGGTGAAAAATAGCGGACGGTGCATGAATTGTTCGTAATGGCCCGTAAGCATGAACCTACAAGCATTCTGTGTTGCAAATTAATCTACCTTATTATTCATGTGTTTGAGCCTGGTCAAAAAGGATGATACTACAGTAAAATACTCCAAAATGTATAAAACGACCTAATTCGAAGGCAGAACGAATAAATCAAGTATCCTGAATCAAGGCCTGAGTACGCAGAAAAGCATGGAACATTTTATTTTCATACATTATTTTCTTTCAGATTTAAATTGATTGAATTTACGGTATGAACAAAAAATCTATGATAGTGAATACACCAATTTTGGACTTTGAAAAATATTGAAAAAAAATAACAAATGACATTTTGTTTGAATTTTTTGATAAAAAAATATATTTCATTTTTGAAGTAATTTACCCATAATTGACTTACTTTAAACATTTTATATCATTGACATAATTTTTGTTTCTGAATGCTTAATATTGTTATAAAAATTATAAATAAAATCGTGTAAAATTGGTGTAACAATCTTTTATTTCAAATCATTAAGAATAGTCACGTCGTGTTCACACGTACATGTCACGACCGTGTATATCACACCAAATGGGATATTTTTCACAACACAAGCGGGCAATACGTAACAACAACAATGTTTTGAGCTGTCACCACCAAAAAATTGTTTTGTGTTGTAGTTTTGTGAGTCGGAGGTGATTTGCACTTTTTCTGAATGTAAAAGGAGTTGAAGGGGAAGAAATTTATAGAAATTATCGAATTTTTGTTAAGTGTAAAAATCAAATTTCCAGCAAAATGACGGTTGCTGCGAAGGTAAATAAAATTTTGATTTTTTCCTGAAAACATAATAAAATTGCACCGTCATAGAAGACATTGACATAACCTCATTCGACTCAATTTATTAATTGAACTAATTTTTTTCTCAATCGGAATTTAGATGGATGTTGATTCCTACCGAGGTGAAGGTTTTCGGCAATATTACATCACGAAAATCGAAGAATTGCAATTGGTCGTAGCCGAAAAAAGTCAAAATCTACGTCGTTTGCAAGCTCAACGAAATGAACTAAATGCCAAAGGTAAGTGATTTCCCATATCAATTGAATCGATTCAGTTTTTAAATGAACATCATTTTGATCCAGTTCGTATGCTTCGCGAGGAATTGCAATTGTTGCAAGAACAGGGCAGCTATGTTGGTGAAGTGGTGAAACCAATGGACAAAAAGAAGGTATTGGTAAAAGTGCATCCAGAAGGAAAATTCGTTGTCGATATTGATAAAAACATTGACATAAACGATGTCACACCAAATTGTCGTGTTGCTTTGCGTAATGAAAGTTATACATTACATAAAATTCTACCAAACAAAGTGGATCCGCTGGTATCACTTATGATGGTTGAAAAAGTGCCCGATTCAACATACGAAATGGTCGGCGGTTTGGATAAACAAATTAAAGAAATCAAAGAGGTCATTGAATTGCCAGTTAAACATCCGGAATTGTTCGATGCTCTCGGTATTGCCCAACCGAAAGGAGTACTGCTTTATGGACCACCAGGTTGGTTTTGTTTTTAAAACTTTAACATTTTCTCTCATTTTCTCAAAGATAAATTCAGTTTTTGTTTTGATGTTCGCCCCATTTTCTCAATACTAAAAAGATTTCATTTCAAATATCATTTTCAGGTACTGGTAAAACTTTGTTGGCTCGTGCCGTGGCCCATCATACCGAATGTACGTTTATCCGTGTGTCCGGTTCGGAGTTGGTGCAAAAGTTCATTGGTGAAGGTTCGCGTATGGTGCGCGAATTGTTCGTAATGGCCCGTGAGCATGCACCTTCAATCATTTTCATGGACGAAATCGATTCGATTGGTTCATCACGTATTGAATCGGGCAGCGGTGGTGATTCAGAAGTACAACGTACTATGTTGGAATTGTTAAATCAATTGGACGGTTTTGAAGCAACGAAAAATATCAAGGTCATTATGGCCACCAATCGTATTGATATTTTGGATCCAGCTTTATTGCGTCCAGGACGTATCGATCGTAAAATTGAATTTCCACCACCAAACGAGGAGGCTCGTCTCGATATTCTCAAAATTCATTCACGTAAAATGAACTTGACGCGTGGCATTAATCTTAAAAAAATTGCCGAATTAATGCCAGGCGCTTCGGGTGCTGAAGTTAAAGGTGTTTGCACCGAAGCCGGTATGTATGCATTGCGTGAGCGTCGTGTCCATGTTACACAAGAAGACTTTGAGATGGCAGTGGCTAAAGTAATGCAAAAAGATTCCGAAAAGAATATGTCCATCAAAAAATTGTGGAAGTAAACTTCAAATCGATCATTATTCACTTAAAATTCTACTTTTTGAACATCGTTTGCTTTATACATAATATGATTTAATGAAACCATTTTACAAATAAAAAAAATTGAGAAAAAATGTTTTTTTAATGGAAAAATAATATCGTTTTGATGAAGACATTATTCATTGTTTTTTTTAATGAATCATTCGTTTTCAAGCTATGCTCAGGTGCACCAACATGGCGCCATCTATTGAAAATGTGTCAAACGATGTCAAAGCACTAAAGCGCTTTATTATCCTTCTTCGATTTAGTTTGTGTTGCGGCTTTTGCTTTGCATTCTGGTTTATGTTCTTTGCTTTATAAAATTTATTTACCAAATTGATAACCTGTCACAGAACAAACCAATTATGTCTTTCAATATGTCGTTTAACCTTTGATTCTTTTCGTTATACTAAAGAGGAAGCGAGTATCTATCCGGTAAAAAGGTAGCTCATATAAAAAGTTGAATTAAATTTTTAATTCGATAAATTGATTGCAGTCGCACCGTTGCATACGAATAAGAACATTTTCTTTTGAGGTTGATAGCGTGTGTCATTCAATATAAAATATTAATATTTGTCAATTTTTCGAAATGTATCGCATGCACACGTAAACGTTTCGGCGAATGAACGAAAAATAAGAGTCATGTGTCGTTGTCATAAAAATTGTCATGCAATGTATGCTTTCTATCAATTTTACTATCAGCACGTTCACAGCTTGAACGACGAAACACACGCAATGCATCGAAAACTAAGAGCGAGCATAAGCATGTATTTAAAAAAGATCTGCATCACGACTTGAGTATCAAGTTCGTCATAGAAAATTTTCAATTTGACTCGTCGCACATTAGACAGTGTGCGTTTGTTCTTTTTTCTTTTAACATCATCGTGTACTAAATGCATATTTTATATGTTTGTTTACTAAACGGAATCGTAGCAGTATAGAGGGGTTGTGATCGATAAGACGATAACGCATCCACTTTCACTGCTCGCAAAATGTGTGTATTTTAAATGCGGTTAAAGTTTTACAATTCAACACATGTATACACGCAGAGATAGAGATAGAGGCGAGAGAGTAGGACATATGCTACGACATGGCGAGTGAAAGGGGAAGAAGAGGAACGTCGAACATTCGAACACATAAATTATGAATAATACGACTTTTTATCTGTTATTGTATGTTTGCATTGCTATTAGAAGTTAAACTACACAGACGATTTCATGTTTTTATACAAATATTTACATTAGTGAACCAAAAGCCAGTTTTATCGACTGCATGCATATGTTGCCTCATCAATACAAATCGTCTACAAATCGACAAAATGATAGCATTTTACCCATTTAACGATTCATATATTTCTTCCGAGTCAGTCAGTCGTTTTGCTACAACTTTTACTGCCACTTGAAATGATGATAAAGTGTGTTATTTGAAGACATCATATTGAAGTGTTTAAATGGTGATTTCGTAACATTTTCATGAATTTTGATGAATTCTTCACCTAAAAATGAAAGAAAGGTGTACTGACGATGCGTTTATATTGTTATCGTTTGTATGTATACGTACGCAATTCAATTCATCCCTTCATTACAGAGAAAAAGAAATATATATTTCAACTTTCTGCATTTCAAAGATAAGCATCACAGAACAGATGATATATATTCGACTAAAGTATGCCCATGAATAAAAGACTGTCTTATGATGTCTTTTGTACCATGATGATCGTGCACTTTTTACTGCTCCAGACAGACGCAACATCACACAACCCAATCAATGACAAGCCGAATTTATATTAAATATTTTGTTTTCTTTATGATTAACCTCTACCTGTCAGTCGATACATAGAATTTGTCCATTTAAAATCTTGTATCAAAATGATGAACAACGCACGCACATACTTAACAATTTTGTTGTGGACAGGCAGGTTTCATAAGGGAAATCTGGCGGGTGTGTAAACGGCCACTTTAAGAAGTGTAAACTTTATTTAGATTTCTTATCAAAATATATTGAAGAGCGAAGAAAAAAACGAATCCTGCATGAAATCCAAATATAAATGTTTAGTCAGCTTCAGTTATTGAACGATGAGAATTTGTGTGTCTGTGACGGAAATTAGTTTGGCCATTGTCATGTTCAGGTCGGGTGATTTTTTTTATCATTTTGGTCATTAATCTTTTTCAGTCAGAGTTTCAGTGTTGCAAGCACATGTGAAATTTATTTAGTAGATTGTGTTGATTAACATATTGTCCAATGTTACACGTGTCGTTGAATCCGATGGGATAGGATGGTGTATGTGGACTATAATAACTGCATATTAAAATGAAAATCCACTTGCAATTTTCGGCCATCGAAATGGTCGTCAATAATTTAATATTTCAAGCCCCTCGTGTGAGTTTTTGGCATTAGTGTAACATCATTTAACTGAATATTCAAGTCATTGGAATCGAGAGTCTGACAAATCTCCAGTGATGTTCATAGCTGAACATTTTGGTGAGTTAAAATGTAGAAGCGATGCAAAAATTAATGATGTTCACTGTACATTGGTCACATAGCGATTTTATGAAAAAAAAAACACACATAAATTACCATTTTGATTTTAATAAGATAAACAAAAAATGATACTTCATTTAGAGAGTGCTCCATCATCTCACATTTAAAATTCAATGTGACGCGACCCATATCCCAGATGAGTCTCTTTCTCACACCCAAAATCGCACCCAACCCAAAATTGCTCTAGATAAAAGAGAGCCACTCACACTCGCGCGTACACACACACGCATCCCCCCAATTTGTATTTGGATAAATGGATAATATTCAAATTGACTCGTGTCACTTATTTAATATTTAAAATTTCATTAAGATGACGAATAAGCCGATGTAGCACGGGAATAACGGACTGAATGAATGAGTGAAAGCATTTGGCACAACACTGTACACATACAGACATACATCGTGTGTCGATTGCTACATCCGGATCAGTGCTGCCTGAGAATGTGAGTATATATGTGCTCAACGGTTCATAATTGCATTATTTATTTGCTGTGAGAAATGTTTCAAATGAAATTTCATCTACACCAAGGAGACCTACACTTTTACCATCACTGTAGCAACGAGCAAAAAAAATTCAAACCGAAAATTACTTCGGGAGAAAGCGATTCTCAGCAATCAACGCTAAACAATATCATTGATGTTAAAATGTTGCTGAAGTGTGCTGCACAGCGAATCATCTTTTAATAAAGTTAAAATTTCAACATTTTTCTTCGTCATGAATTGCAAAACATTTTTTATACAAATAAAATGAACGCCATAACGTTTGATATTACTAGTTATTCTTAGATCGAATCGCATATAATTTCTTCATATGTAGAATTTTATTCATCGTACACCAAACAATACACCGACTTTATTCCAAATCAAATGCGAATAATAGAAACAAAAGCACGGTTTATAATATGGTTTTGGTTTTACCAGTAATTTCGTAATTTTCGTTGTCAATATGGCTGGTTGTTGTGCTTAGAAGTGTGTGTGTAAGAGTGTATCATGTTGATTTGAAGCAAGGGGAGAGAAATGGCGCGAGAGAGGGAGAGATTTGTTGATTTGTTTTTGTTGGTGTATTTCTTGACAGTGTGCAGGAACGTACTTTTGCACATATACACACTGAATGGCATTTAAATGAAATTACTTACCTACGCTTGTCGTACCAATTCTTTCCTGTACATATTAAATGTGATATGTTCGCCTCCAATTTCACGTGCTGAATTCCTGTTCCGTCGTTTCGAAAATACTAATGATGAAAAGTACTACAATGAAATGAGCTCTGCTTTTGCTTCAAACATAATATGGAAATGAAAAATGACAGTGTGCATACGGCGGCGGCGACATTCAAACATAATACCAAATTCATATGATTTCCCGTTGTTCTTTTATTTCTTCATTTTTATTGTTCTCATTGCATTTCGACAATTTTAGCCTCATTTTCATGTTCATTATACCATCCACTTTGCGACTGTAATTATTATTTATTATTAATATTTTTTCATCATCCGTTCGAGGAAAAGCACCTTGCCACTTCTTAACTGTGTACCTGTATATATGAAAAAGTTAGGTGAATGAATCTGATTTATTATGAAGAAAACAAATGTACATAAAATAACATTTTCTACAATGTTTCAATCGATAAATAATACAATTATTCAGCAGTTTTTTTAACCTACATTGGTTCATTCCATCAGAAACATGGTGAACGATATTTTCCACTACGAACGGGTGATTTTGTTATGCGATTAATTGAAAGTTTTTTTTTTGAACATACGTGAATATGGAATATTTCAATGCAAATGAACATTTTTCAAATATGAAAAAAAGGGTTTTGGGATTAAGGAATGAAAATGTCCCATTTTTAATCAGTCGCATAATTGTCCTTATTACTTATGCATTACGGTATATTTCCGAGAAATCAAGCTTAAATTGAATAAAGTTTCACCAAACAAAGTTTTCTGTTGTTTATTTCATTTCTAAATGGCAGTTCGGCAAACATATCAACCAATCATTTGCTAAATGACATGCTCCTTATCATGGAAAATCCATCAAAATTTGAAATTCAATCTGAAAATGGAAACAATTAGATGGATTTGTAGCTCAATAATCTATAATAGCAAAGCAATTAGTAATTCAAACTGAATATGAATGACAGAAATTTGAGTTCATTATTGTCTTTGTGAATGATGAATTATTTATTTAAATTGATATCGATAAACAGCGAAATTGAGCGCTGAGAAAAGAGCGCTACTAAAATTGATATTTCCTTCAGTAATTAAATGTGATTAACATTGTGCCATAATTTAAGATGCGAAATTCGTCTGATTAAATGGTTTAATATGATTAATATGCAAACATTTCCATTTGGAAAAATTTATAATTTTGGATTATTAAAACGCAGTGTTTCAAAGAGTTGTTCGATCCTCTAAAAAAATCCATTTGATGACCAAATGTTTTTTGTGAAATAATACTGTTGATAAATTTTACACTCCATATTGCTGTAATGCGTTATTTGCATACTACTGTATTGAGATTTTGCTTATGATATGGTCCACGGAAACTCTTT